TTTTATCAGTGTGGACCTAATTTGTATCAGTGAGCTGATGAGAGAGAGTGATACAGTCTTATGCTGGAGCATAATCCTGGGCTGACTCAAGAAGGCATAGATGATTTTATGCCTAGAAGAGCCAATGGAAAGCCTCCCTTTATTCCATAGGGAAATGTGCAGAATTAGCCATTGTGAATCTGTGGTCCCCAACACCTGGGTCTCTGGGGTCCTTGCTCCAAGCTCCTGTCCCAGGTTCCCTGCTGCAAGCAGGAAACATTCTCCAGGGTCGTGGGACACGTGAAGAGTGGCCCCTGCACTGTGCTTTCTACAGCTCCTGCAAAGGGCTCCTGCAAAGCTGGAAGATGCCCTCTGTCCATGCGCAGCTCCTTACGGTGAATGCAGTCACTGCACATACACACACACACACGCTAAGAAAAGTGAACAATTGAAGAGGAAAGCTTCGCCACTCTGATTTTTAAAACGCTCTGTATGGAGTATGGAAAGACACAGCTCTAAACCCTCAGTCCCGTCCCACAGTGCTGGGCCTTCCGTGAAGCCCACGCACCACAGCTCTGTCCCCTCTTGCACCCCAAGCTCCCTCCCAGTGTGTCACACTGCACACACAGCGGCCCTCAGGGCACACAGGTTGCTGCCCTGAAGAAGGGGATCCCTAGGCCTGCGTCACTTTCTCCGTCCTTTCTGCACCTATTAGCTCTTTTTAGTTTTAGCTTTGGCTGGAGTCACACTAAACTGAACTCCTGTTCCTCCCACCTCAGCCTCCCAGGCAGCTGGGATTATAAGAGTCGACCAGGACATGTCACTTGGCTTATCAAAACAAGGTGATACGAACCGTTATTGTATTGCATATCTTTGTCTTCAAAAGGGTAGCTCAGATTACCAGATAAGGCATGCAAAACTGAGCTCACAATATGAGCACTAACTTATCCTTCCCATGAGCTGATGGGATGAGTAGTACAACTCTCTTAGCTACCATTTCCACCATGTTTTTTCTCCTTTCCCCCATCCCAATTTTCTTTCCTTTTGAACAGCTGCTTCTCTCTTACACATCTCCAGTACCATTTGGATTTATTTTCTCACCTTTTTAGCCTTCAGGTTTTGTCTTAGTCATCTTCTCGCCCACCCCCCCAGCTCTCATTGTGTGGCGCCGCCTCATGGCTGGGAGGACCCGGGCCTTCAGGTTGGCTGCTGCCACGCCAGGGGGACCTCACACTCCACTGTGCAATATGGACCCTGGACGCGGTTTGTGCTCAGGATCCAGGAACGCACCCACGGGCCGCGCTTGGCCTCTCTCTCCTCTCCGTGCAGGTCCTGTTGGCAGGTTTAATGCACATGACAGAAGGGAGAGGTGACCGTTCTAAAGCAGTCACCTTTGTGGTTTCGGAGCTGACTCGATGAGCCTGTTCAATTTTGCATCTGGTGTCAGAGAGAAACAGGACTGGAGGACTGACACAGGTAGCGCGCGGCCACCCAGCCTGTTCTCCTGGGGCAGCTGCGACGCGAGAGAAGAGCCCGCGTGGGTGTTCCTGAGCCGCACTGGCGGCCTGACCAGCGCTGAACCCGGCAACGTGGACTCCGAGCAGAGGGCGGGGCGGCAGGCTTAGGAAGGATGCGGTAGTGCCAGGCGCCAGGGTGAACATCAGCGAGGGCAGGCTGGGCGCGCACACCATAGTGGATGTCCCTGTGCGTCATGCGTCTGTGTGTCATCTGCCTGCGTGTTGTCAGTGGGGTGTGCGTCTGTGTGCGTCATGTCTGTGTGCATCGCGTGTTTTGTGTCCCTGCTGTAAGGTGGGGCCGCTGCAGAGCCCGCCCATCTGCAGCTCAGAGCTGTGTCCTGGGCTGGCGTGGCGGGACCAGGGCCAGTGTGTTAGAGGGAGGTGTGGACATGCAGGACTCCGCGTGGACCCCAGCCCGAGCGGCCAAACCCAGAACTGATTTCGTGAATCGAGGCCCCCGAGTCGCCCGCAGGAATGATGCACTGTGTGCTGCTGCTGCTGGCTGTTAGATGACTCCACACCCCAGAGCTTCCCCAGTACCCCCATCATACCCCAACAGGCCCAATGGAGACCAGGAACTGACCCAGTGCCAAGGGATCCGCGGCAAGAGGACTCGGGCAGTGCCTGACCCCACACTGCGACACCGGCGGGCTCTGGCCAACAGGATGGCATTCCTGAAAGACTGAATGCACCACATACAAGATGGAGTCTGATTTATTTCTAATTATCTGAAAGGCTCTCCGACCTTCTGGCTACTTTTTTTCCAGTGCGCAGATCCTGTTCTTGTGCAGATGTTGCTGTGAAGGGAGCAGAGGGCGCTGCCACACCTAGAGGTTGGAGGAGCACAGCACATGGGGCTGTGGGGTGTTGCCAGTCAGGGTCTTGCTTCCCAGCAGAGGTCACATCCAGCAGGCTGTACTGTCCGCCCCCTCGAGCTGGAGAGAAGTCTCAGGCACTTCCAGGCAGCTCTCTGAACCCCTTTTCCCCTCCGGGACTTAGAGATCGGATCTGGGCAGGGGTAAATGCGCTCCTTGATATGTGTCTAAGAATGCCGGAAGGTAAGGGTGGGAATCAAACCGAAGGCTTTGGGGGCCATGTTCGTCTTGTACGCGATGTGTTTTTGCATGGCCTTGTTGGAGGACAGTTTCCTGTTACTAATCTTTCTAAATAAACTTTTATTGGCACAAGGCCACATTCACTCATTAGCATTGCTGTGCTCAGCTCCTCACTAGGGAGGCAGAGTTGAGTAGCCCTCGCTTTGTTGCCATGAGGCAAGATCTTGTGTAGTTCAGGCTGTCCTTGAACTTGGTATGCAGCCCAGGCTTGCCTCCAACTCAGGACACTTCTCCTGCGTCAACCTCCTAAGTGTTGGGGTTGTAGGCATGTGCTACCATACCCACATTAAAAATAGTAACTTAGTTTCTTGCAGTGCTGGGAGTCAGGCTTGGGACCTTGGGTGTGCTAGACAAGTACCATGTGTCCAATCCTAGTGGCTTTGATCAAGACTCAGAGGTATTGATGTTTGTTTGCTCCTCCAGTAAAGTTTGCAGATGCTGTGTGGGGGCAGAAGAAGGCACCTGTGCTGAGAGCTGGCGGTTTCCACTGGTTTAGCCCAGACTGTGAGGGATCCCATCTCCTGGGGAGGGCTTACTCCATTCTCTCTCTGGTCTGTCAGAAGCTCCATGTGCTGGTGGGAGGGTTTGAGTGGCACCGCTGGGAACTGGCACAGCTGTCACTTGGCACCCTGCAGCCACCTGCATCATGGAAGCCACCGAGCCTGACCCTGGGTGGCCCCAGCCTTGGTTCGCTGAGCAGGCACTGTGCTGCTCTTCCACAACATATTTTCCTCTTCGAAGGCTCGTGGCCAGCAGAGGATAGAAGGGCAGTGGCCAGCTCGGAAGCACTCCCAGCACAGGGAATCAGCATGGACTCCAGAGCTGTGTCCCTGCCCGTCATGATTGGGGGTGAACCGGCACTCTGCCTGCCCATCCCACACTTTGGCTACTGACACATGTGCTAACTCTTGGAGAGCAACCAAACTATTTGCCTGGCTCCAATGAAAATCGAATTCCTAGTGGCCAGAAGACATCGGTAAAGTATAGAAAACCTGCAGTGTAGGGAGCTGAGCTGTGATGGACGCAGCAGGAAGAGACCATAGATGTCCCCTCTGTGTCCTGTTCCCAATGGGCCTGGCAGGTGATGTGCTCTGCACGCCGTCCTCTGCTAGGTTGAATACAAGCCTGGACTGCATCGATGGCTCCTGCATGAGTCACATGTCAGTATGTGCCCCCGCGGCAGGAGCCCACAGGGTCCTTGTCCCAGCCCCGTCTCAGCACAGCAGGCAGATCTGTCCTCCCTCTATCCTCCTATTTCTCACTACACTGAGCATCTGGGCTCTGATGACTGATGAGAGGTGTCTGTTGAGCCATCAGCCATGGGGGTGAAGTTGGTCTTCTTGATCTCATTCCATCCGGGCCTCTGGGTTCAAGGTGTGTTCCCAGCACTTCAGCACCGTCCCCCACACACACCCATACGTGCATGGACACACAAGCTCCAATCCTCATGTGAAATGCTGCATTGGCCTTTGAGCAGTCACCTGTACTTGCGGTGCAAGGGCTACCTGAGTCAGAGGACTTGGGGACCTAGGACCGCACCCTTGCTGCTCACAGTGTGTATTTGTGGAAGAAAGACCAAGGGACACTCTGGGTGAAGGCGTTGCTGGAGCCTGGGAAGTCAGAGGAGAGGCCCTGCTGCTGCTGATGCACAGAGGAGCAGGGCAAGCCCATGTGGTATAGTGGGAGGCTTCCGGGTGGTGCAGGAAGAAAAGGAGCAAAGTGACAAGTGACACTGGAGGACCTAGGTGCCTCGGAGCTGCTGCTGGGAGGCTTCTGACTTTGTAAGATTGAAACGGCCCAGCCATGCGAAAGCTCTGCGTCTGTGGTAACGTGAAGTCCACATGCTTGGCACCATGACTTCTCAGCCTCAGAGCTGCGATACGGACCCTTAGCGGTTCCCATGGACACTCAGAGCCAGATGGGAACTCGAGACTGGGCTCACTCCTTTTCAGGGCCTGGCAGCCTGTCCAGTGTGGCCTGTGCATCAAGAAGGGAATGACCAGTGGGGCTGGGGAACAGCAGAGTGGGTGGGGTGGGAACGGGGGAGAGGCAGGTGGAGGTGTGGAACATGCAGGTGTGGAACAGGACTGAATACCTCGCCCTCAGTGCAGCCCAGGGCTGAGGGCAGCAGTTGGGCTGGTGATCGGGTATGCATGAGGAATGACCCAGGCCCCACGGCTGAGACAGCAACCTGCGAGGCTGGGAAGAGTAGTTTCATATAACCAGACATTGCCTTTTCTAAGCGTAGGGCATTTTTAAGAGGCAGAGAGAATCTTGTGGGAAATGTACAGCTTTGTTATTTGGTGGGATTTCTTCCTACGTTGAGCAGTTTATGCAAAGCAGCTCCCCGCCGGGTCTGACAGTTCTGTCTCATTTTCCTCTCCTCCAGTTCTTGCAGACAACCTGAAATCCAACCCTGGAATCAAGTGGCAGTATTTCAGTTCAGAAGAAGGAATCTTCACCGTCTTCCCGGCACACAAGTTTCGGTGTAAGGGCAGCTACGAGCACCGCAGTAGGTACGCTGACCTGCTCCTGCAGTGTGGGACTGTTGTTCTGCATAGTCTGCCTGAGGGGTTTGGGTCTAGGTGTTGTCTAACGTGGGTTGGGGGTCTGGGTTCAGCACTCTCACACACCCTGCACCCGCACACAGGCACCTGCCCAGGGCCCACGGAGTCCAGATTCCTCAGTTTCCCACACCATACACCCTGTCAAAGCAGCAGGTCCTGAAACTTGGCCATACTCTGAAATGGGTCTCTGCTTGAGGCCGATGACCAGGCTTCGAGTTTTCCAGGAACTGCAGAACAAGCCTAGCAGCACTGAGCCACAGTGACAGAATTCCCTGGTCTGAGGCTCGAGAACATTTGCAGTTCCCGCTGTCTCTATTGAAATCCAGCCGGGAATGAGACATCATCATCACGTAGTTATGAACGACAGAAGTCGGTGATTCTCAGCTTCCCTTTCCGTAGTAATGATTTGCATCAGGTTTCAGCCATAGGCTTTACAAGGCTCGGAAAGCACAGGGTGAAAGAGTTCTTCCACCCACTCCTCCACCGAAGTGGCCTGGGATTGTGCACAGCCAAGGTGGAGATGCGGAGGTGATTTGTACGACAGACACCTCAATTTCCAGGACGCTTTGCTTTTCAGTGCCACACTTTCCCCTGGTGCACTGCTAGACACCTGCTTCCCATGCCATTTTCCCGAGTTTTAATGAGCATTCACTGCAGCTGCCTTTTGCTCCCCTTGACGGGGAAGTGTGAATCCCGACACCCGCAGCCTCACAGAGAGATCTGTTTGGCTCCTGGGTTCAGTCCGAGGTCAGTTGCTCCCAGGAAGAAGCAGCCCAGCGGAGGGGTCTGTCGACCGAGAGCTGCTCATCCCATGGCCTGCAGGAAGCAGAGGTGGGACAAGCAGGGGACGAGAATGCAGCCTTCCGGGTCTCACCCCGGGGGCCACCTCCGGCCAGGGCCACCACCTGTGAATCCATCCCTGCCCGAGTGTACTGAGGAGCACAGCACCGGAGGCTTTGGGAGATATTTAGATGACTTAGTCATTTAGATGACTCCGCCAACATCCAATTTTTCATCCACAAGAGTTCTCAGGAAGGAAGGAAGAAATCACTTTAAAGAAAATCCTAGCCAGGCGTGGTGATGCACACCTGTCATCCCAGCACTTGGGAGGCTGAGGCAGGAAGCTTGCCATGAATTTGACGCCAACCTGGGCTACACAGTGAGTTCAAGGCCAGCCTTGTGTCAGGAGAAAAAAGAAAGAGAAGAGAAGATCCTCTTGCCTGGTTTGGAGAACCCAGATGGTCCCACCTTTTAGCTGGCTGGTTGCGTCAGACTGTCACCCACGTGGCATAGAGAAATCAAGTGATTGAGGGGTATTGGTAGAGAAGAATTCTCTCCAGGCTGGTTTGCTTTCTTAAACAACTGTCCCCCAATTGTTCCAGCTCTGAAACTGTGAGCAGCCCTCATTAAACCTCAGGAACCCCAGGCCTCTTAGGTTGGAGGCCTAACCACCCCCTTTTCCTTAATGTCAGCAAGCCAGGCCCTGGTGCACAGAGTGGCTGTCACAGGTATGGACTTGTCTGCCAGCCTGGCGCTAGGTGCTGTGCTTGGGGCCAGTCCACAGCTGACCCGAGGGAACCGACCTGATACAGAGAAAGCGGCTGCTTCCGTAGGAAGAAAGGCCAGACCAGTGTCAGAGCTGCCCAGAGTGCCCTGGCTCCTAGCACAGAAAATCCTCCCTGACTCCTGCCCTAGGGCTGTCAGCTCATTTTCTGCCGTGCAGAGGTGCGGGGTGACGGGTGAGCAGAAGCAGCCAGTGACTTGGAGAGTCTGCTTCTAGACTTCACACTGAGAGGGCATCTTCAAGGCAAGAGCCTGCCCTGGCAGCCTGCAGTGCTGTGCTGAGGGGTTGCTGCTACTCCTCCATGCCACCTCCCCACCCCTGCACATGCATACTTCAGCACATTCGCACGTAAGCGCACACGCGTGCACACACACACACACACACATACACACACAGAGGTCATCTCTCCAGCTGGCACAGGTGGAGCCCTTTTTCCCAAAGCAGGACTGACCAGGAGCTTCTCTCCCTGCAGGCCCATCTATGTGTCCACTGTCCGGCCACAGTCCAAGCACATCGTCGTCATCCTGGACCACGGGGCCTCAGTCACTGACACCCAGCTGCAGATCGCCAAGGACGCTGCTCAGGTCATCCTCAGCGCCATCGACGAGCACGACAAGGTAACCGTCGCGCAGTGCATCCACCTTGAAGGCTGGCTTCAGGTGATGTGCACTTGCATGGTCCCCTGAGGGACCAGTGGGTGACACCCCTTGGGTTTCCAGGTTACCCAAGCTCAGGGAAAGTGTGGCAGAGTGATCGGTGGCCAGGTTACCTGCAGGTCCCTCTCTGCCTCCTCCTGTGGGCCATGCTTGTGCATTTTCTTCAGCTCTCCTGTAACAGGATCTGGGGGAAAGGCGTGCCTTAGTTTTCACTGTGGCCTGAGAATGCAACCTCCGTCCCCGGATCCCTCCTGTGTGCCTCGTGCAGCTGGGTTTAGGTTTCCCGTAACCAAGCCTTTGCCACCAGAAGTCATGCGACAGAGGGAATGACGCAGCTGGGTGGCTGATGTTGTCCCAGGGTTGGCAGGAAGTGGCTGCAGTCTTGGGGCCACTCAGGGAGGCCCGGGTGCAGAGAAGGGTCATCTGCACCCTGTGCACGTGTCCTACCCTATCATTTTGGCTCTCCTGTCTCACTGATACAAGTGCTTAGAACACGTGCACGCACTCATGAATATAGCCACTTAAGGTTCGAAAACCAAGATGGTAGGTTCCTGCTGTGGTTTTTCTCTGCATGAATTTTATTGCTGTGTTTTTTTTTTTTTTTTTTTTTTTTAAGATTTTTGCTGGTGTTTTTTAAATGTGAGTGCTATGTTGCTACTTCATCCTGGAACAAAAACCAAACTTCAGGGTAGTACCCTCCCCGACCAACAAGTCCTTTTTTAACTTGATAGATTGATGCCTCTTTGTGCCTGTTTTTAAATTCAAGTGGCACCCTAGAGTCTTCTCTCTGTTGGCTGTTATGTTGCATAAAAATCCTGACTGTGTGTGCCGGTGCATACTCGTAGTTCCAGCTACTTGGGAGGCTGAAACAGGAGGATTGCTTGAGCCCAGGAGCTCACGGCCCAGCCCAGCCAACATAGCAAGACTCCACCTCTTTAAAAAACAGCCTTGGAATGCTTGGGGTAACAGGTTGTTGTCATTTTTCCGCCTCCCTGCAGATCTCCGTGCTGACTGTGGCAGACGCCGTCAGGACCTGCTCTCTAGACCAGTGCTACAAGACTTTCCTGTCCCCGGCCACCAGCGAGACGAAGAGGAAGATGTCCAGCTTCGTCAGCAGCATCAAGGCCTCGGACAGCCCCACGCAGCACGCGGCGGGCTTCCAGAAGGCCTTCCAGTTGATCCGAAGCACAAACAACAGCACCAAGCTCCAAGCAAGTAGGTCCATTCCCTCGGGGCCTCAGGGGCAGGGACGGGGCCGCAGGGGTGCATGGCCAGCTGTGCACTGAGAGGCTGACTGGGCACAGAAGTTCTGTGCCAGCTCCAGGTGGCTTCCACTAGGATCTTACTAGCTGTTCTCAGCTGTTCCAGTCCCACACTCGCCGTGACAGGCTGGTGACTTGCTGGTTATGTGTTGGTTAGTTGCTGGTTAAGTGCTGATTACTTGCTGGTTAACTGCTGGTGACTTGCTGATTAGTTGCTGGTTAGTTGCATGTTTCCGGACTCCCAGAGCCTGCACCTCTGCCCACTTGTGAGGAAGGAGCTCTGACTGATTTCCCCAGGCACTGGCGCATCCTTTTGAATGTTAATCACTGGCTTTGGCTGCGTGGCCGAGTTGACACCTGCTCAGGGGGTAGCAGGAATCTTTGTCTCAATACTGTCCTGCCAGCTGTCACCAGGCTGAGCAGGGCTCTCCGCTGTACAAAGGCACGCTAATTTAATTTTCATGTTATTAGAGAAATCTGGAATTAGGATGTGTGTGAAAGGAGAGAAGCGTATTAGAAGTGGGACTCTCGCTTTGAAACTACTTCAAGGGATCTATCTCATTTTCTCTTTTATATTCAGAAATCTGCATGTAGCATTTTTTCCTTTTGTGGTGACATGAGTATTTCCCATGGAGACGCTGAGAGGCCTCATGTCTGTACCACTGGCCTGCGAGCAGCACAGGGCCCAGTGCACACTGGTCTCCCGGGAAGGAGAAGCTGGAATAACCAGAGCCAGGAGGGAAGTGGTGGCTGTTGGCTTCATCTTTGTAATCCCCAGGCACCCCACACCAGGCATTGGGTGTCCAGGCAGGCCCTAAATGGGGCAGCCAGGGCTGGGGCTGCACAGCTCTTGGTCTCAGTGCCCACAGTGTATAGATAGAGCACGCCCCTTGTACCCCTCAAACTGCCATGGCTTTGCTCTTTAAGGCTGGCCGGGATATCCTCTCCTGCTTCGAAGCCCTGACTTCCAGGAAGGCCCGGTCCCCCTAGAATGGGCTCATCACCCCCAGAACAGGCTCATCTGTGAGACCGTAGCTGCTGTCACTTGTGAACTGCAGGTTCCCCTCCTTAGGGATGGACCTGCAGCCAACCTAGTGGGGACCGTGCTTACATCCAGCCAGGGACAATCACCCACGCCGAGTCTGTTGGCACATCTCGGGGTCCTCACAGCTGATAGGGATCTCGAGGAACAGGGCAACTGTGTGCTGAGCCACTCTGGTCAGCAAAGAAGGGCAGCTTGTGTGTGCTGTCCACCCACCAGCTTTTCCTGAGGGGTATCCCGTCCTCCCAACCCCTGGGCTCAAGCATCCGGTTGTGTTTATCCTCTGCTTAATGGGGTGAAGGCTCAGGTGGGCCAGTGTGAGCCCCGATGCCACCTACGGGCCACTGGAGCAGGTGCCTTCTCTCTGCTGTGTGCAGGTGCCGTCCCAGACCTGCGATTCCAGGGGAGCCAGAAGTGTGGGGTTTAATGTGAGATCCCTTGATTCTCAAATGTTGACACTCGTTGCTGTTTAAAAACTGTGACCAGAGGCCTCCCTGAACTCCTCTCGATTGCATTTCTCTCCCGAATGAGGCAGAAGCCTGGTTCGATGGGGGGTTTCTTCTCTGGGCCTTTTTTTTTGGTCATTTTGAGATAGGATTTCACTATGCAGTTCAGACTGGACTTGAATTCTCAGAGATCCTCCTTCCTCAGCCTCCCAAATGTTGGGATGACAGGAGTGCACCACCACACCTGACTCTCTTTTCTTACTATTGTAAACAAAAACATCATGAGATTGGCTACCAGGGCTTGGACATGTTTTCACGACATAGCTTGGGATATGCTTGGCACAGAAGGTGTGTTTTGGCTGAGTTAGATGTTAAGGTCCTCCGCTTTATAGCTGCTTCTAGAAGTTTAGAGAACAAAGAATGCATATCAGTTTGCATAACGAAATTCTTCAGCTCAGTGTGGTAGTGCACACCTGGAATCCCAGCTCACTGGGAGGCTGAGGCAGGAGGATCGGAAGTTCGAGGCCAGCGTGGGCCACTTAATGAGCTCCTGTCTCAGAATTAAATAAGCAGGGCTGAGGGTGCAGCTTGATCTGCACACACAGGGCATCTGGATTCCTGCAATACTGAGAAAGGAGGGAGGAAGCGAGGGAAGGAGTGAATCTTCACTGTCTAAGGGAAGTTGGGTGTTCCCAAGCTGTGGGTGGGTTTTGAATCAGCCAGCATTCTCCCGAAACTCCTCAGAGCTGATGGGTGTGAGTAAATTCCTCAAGCCCTCCAGATCTGCTGTCCTAGTCCGTACCCTGAGACCCTGGGCTCCCAGAGTGTCCAGTGCCATTAGCAGCGGACCTGCCACAGTGCCCCGCTACATGACTTCTTTGGTGGGGCCAGAGCAGCGTCCCATGTGTCCTGAGTGGACCCCAAAAGCCCCAGATGCCAGGGACCCCAGTGGCCCGGCAAGAGCAGAGTGGACACCTGTTTATGCCATGGTCACTCAGCACCAGCTGTGCACCTGGGCTGCTGGGGTGAGGTTACCCTCAGGAGCCAGCCCTTCCCTACGGGAATGATGCAAGGATTCACTGAGCATGGATATGGGGTGCCTCTCCTAACACAAGAGCCACACTGTGTGATCACCGCAGTGCAGCTATGTCCAGCTCTGGCTCTGTCCTCAGCCAGCCCGTGCAGTCTGTCACAGAGCTGCCCACCCTTCCAGGTTGTTTGTTCCAAGTCTTATGGGGGTTGGTGGAAAGACCTTTGGCAGCCGAGGAAGTGAGAGGTTGGGGTGTGGACCCCACTGCTTGGGCAGAGCACCTGGGGCCTATCGGAATGGTCTCCCCTCTGGAATTGACTCCAGGGTGTGCTCTGCCCCAAGCCGCTGTGGTCCCCATCTAGCGGGACAGCCCCCAAGGCCTGGCCTGAGGCTCCAGCTGGTGACTGGGGAAGAACCTGAGTATAATTGGGAAAGTGAGTCAGGTGGCATTCGGAGGCACTGATGACTGAAGGTGGGAAGTAACCCCACTTGCTCTGCAGACAGGGAGGTGACCAGCAGGATCAGGACGGAGACCTCAGGACTCAGGGTGAGTGCTTGGCCGGTGACGCAGCACTCACCTCACTGGTACTGCCCCACTCCCCAGGAGCGCCCCAGGAGCATGCTGTGTCTAGAGTCTATGCCAAAGGAGAATACCTAAGGGCACCCCAAGCTGTCCAGGGGTCTGCATGGCCTTGGGGTGAAAAGGTGGTTTGTCATGCTTCAGCCTCAGGGTTTGTCCCCCTAGAGAGAGGCACAGGTTTATTCGTTGGTTTGTTTTCTTGTAGTACAAGGATTGAATGAGTTGCTTAGGGCTCTCATAAAATAACTTATGGAGATACACTTACAACACTGAAAATTTTTTTTTTAATTTTTTGAGACAAAGTCTCACTTTGTTGCTCAGGCTGGACCTGAACCCACTGTGTATAGGCTGACCTAGAATTCACAGTGATCCTCCTGCCTCAGCCTCCTGAGTGCTGGGATTACAGGTGTGCACCACCACACCTGGCCATCAAAGATATTCATGTCTAGTTTAAAAGAAATTTTTGTCTAAAACTTGGTGGTTTTGCAGCATCACCTGCTTCCTAATCTGGGACACCTGTGTCTTGAAATTCTATCTGTGGTTTATTAGTGGTGTTCACGCACTGAATCTGACTTTCAGATTTGCCTGAGTGCTCAGTGTAGTAAACACAGGGATTTTTACCGTATTATTTTTCTTTGAGTCAGATGTTATTATGCTCAGTTCAGTTGTCTATAGTACTGAACCAATAGCAGTTAACTTTTCAATTCTGCACAGTGATGAATACTTTTAAAAGTGGAAATGTTCGCACTGGAAGCAATTCTAGCACTGTGACTTTGTGGTTAGGGTCGTTTGAATAATAACAGTATTTATTATGTGTATAACAAACTAGCCTAGCACTTGGGCTTCCAATAAGACATGTTTTCTCTGTGACAGTTTCTGAGGGTCTGGAGTCTTCACACAGCCCAGCCGGGGCCTCTGATTCCAGGTGCCCCCGCAGCCACCCCCGTAGGAATCACCCGTCTGGGCCGTGCTCAGAGGAGGGTTGTTCCTGAGGACTTGGGTGCTGGTTGTTGGGCTGGAGGGGAACAGCGTAGAGGCTGCCCGAATCATCAGTGTGGAGCATCCTCAGAGAGACGCAGCTAGAACCTTAATCAATGCACAAGCATTAATTCTCAGTTAGAGGAAATGGTTCAAGGCATGGTGCCCCGAAAGTGTCTGTTTAAACCAAGACTCCAGCTGACACTGAAGGAACCAGGAGCATTCTGTAAGCTCCATTGCTGCTTCCTGCAGGGCGGCCCAGCCTCTCCGCATGCATCCAGGGTGGTGGCTTCCTCCATGGCTCCTTCTCCAACTTCCAGCCAGGCTCAGCTATCCCACCATTGCCCGAAGGGCCAGGCATGTGGGTCCCAGCTTGTGGTCCTCCCTGGCCGCTGACAAGGGTCAGGGCTCTGTCCTCTGTCCACATCCCACGTACCTGGGCAGCACTCTCTCTGCCTGCCAACTTCCCAAGTATGGCTCCGCAGGGGTCATCTCAACCACCTGATAGTTGTCCTGAATAAACTGGACAAAGTTGTCACTTTTATAGTTCCTGTTATATAATCTTATATAAGAGTTAACAAAAACCTCAGCAATTTTCAGTCATCTTGCATTTCAACGTGGGATCAGTAAGTGGTTAACTGGCTCCTTCCGCTGGCCCTGTTGTGACCCCTCTGCACAGAGCAGGAGTTCCACACAGGGCTCATGTAGTCCTCTCACCCGACCTACACCCCCAGACCTGGCCATCCAGGGCTTGGGTACCTCGATTCCCCTTTGCGGCCCTGACGCACTCCTGAGAGGAAACCCCCCCCCCCCGGGCTGCCTGGTCAGGGCAGCAGGGCAGGGTAGACAGATGCAGCCCGGGAGGTGACAGTGCCCATTGCATGGGAGGACAGAGAGGCTGGCCAGCAGGGTCTCGGGTGGGGGAGTCAGCTGCTCCAGCCTGCACCTCTGTGTCACCCCGATGCATGTGTTTCTGTTTAGACACAGACATGGTCATCATCTACCTGTCGGCCGGCCTCACGTCCAAGGATGCCCCAGAGGAGGATAAGAAGGCGACTCTGCAGGTCATCAATGAAGAAAACAGCCTCCTGAACAACTCCGTGATGATCCTGACCTACGCCCTCATGAACGGTAGGCAGCGGTGTGCGGCTTTCCTTCCTGGGGGCTGCCGCTTCTGAAAAAGCAGAGTGACTCTCTCCTCAGGGTGCTGTGACGGGAGGCACAGGCTCCTCCTGCACCTGGCGTCAGAGTGCAGGGCCTTGGGGGCAAGCCTTTCTCCCCAGCCTTCTCCCTATCTGCATTCCCACCAGGACATGCTCTCCTCCACTTCGGCTCCTTCCCAGCCCAGGTCATCCAGGTTTTCATTTGTCCGTTCGTGTGAAGGTTGTAAACTTGGCTCCTGTGCTCAGCACATGGGCCTCTGTTCTCTCCTGTCACCAAGATGGTGAAAGCACTGTCCCTCCAGCTCCTTCTGCAGGGCAGGGTGGGGTCAGCCCAGTGCTCAGCATACCAGGGTCCACATTAGAATCCATGGTGCCACTGCTAAGCAACAGGCTGCTTTTCCATCGGAAACCATTCAGCCTTCCCTCACGATTGTAAATGACTCTGCGTCCCAGGACCCTCGCCCGGTTCCCACAGCAGTGCCGTGGTAGAGCCACAGGGTGAGCTGATGAAGCCGACCTTCACAGAGATGTACACGGGTGCTGACAGCGTGCAGAGCTGGCCGTCACCACAGCGCTTGCTGTTCCTCCAGGTTGTCCCTTTCATCGGGCCTTCCTGGCAGCAACATAACAATTGAGTTCATCACAGGGAGTTGGGGCAAGCGCCTAATATATTGTCTCGGTTACTTTTCTCTTTTTGGTGAGACAAAATACTTCACTCCTGAAATGAAGGAAGGAAAGCTTATTTGGAGGTTTTAGCCCATACTCAGCTGGCTCAGGCAGGGCGGCATGGCTGAGGCACAGCTGTTCATGGTGACTGCAAGATATAAGAGAGAAAGGGCAAAAGGGTAAGGCTTGGCTCTTCCCCTCCCTTGTACTGTGTGCCAGCTCCACCCCCAGCAGGTGCAGCGCTCCCTGCCAATCCCAGCACTGGACTCAGCCGCCTTTGAAAGGCCCAGCCCCCTGACTGCATGCAGCTTTGGGGAAGTCCAGACTCGAAACATAACGCATCTTCGTTTACACATTCCTGTGCGCCTTTAGTAACCACAGCCCATCCGCCACCCTGAGTATTGATCCATTTCCATTTTTATGCTGCTGTGTAAATGCCATTATGTTGAACAAACTTAGCAAGACTTGGTCAGTTCAAAGAAATGCTGATTATTTCCCCCTGCTGTCAGCCTGCCTTCAGTAAGCCTGACTGTCCACACAGTGCTGCACCCTCCTCCCGTGGCCACACCACCCTCTGCTTCCTCTGGCCTTACCCTTGTGTCACGGGACCAAACTGACCCCGCAGCTTTCCTGCCTCTGCTGCTGCATTGGCTTCCTCACTAACACATCTCCATGCAAAGCCTGGATGTTAGGGTGAAGCTCTCGGTTTACCCACATCAAGGATGTTGGGGGAATGCTTTTAAAATACAGAGCCAGGTGCTGCCCTCCGGTCCTGCTCAGGCCCTGTTGGGAGGGATCTGAGATCTTCCGTGTCCGAGGCCCACACTCTTGCTCCGGTTCGGCTCCTGGGGCCCAGCTGTCTGGCGCCAGAGGCCCCACCTGCAATTTCAGCAGTGTGGCTTTTTGTTGCAAGCTTCCCCATCTGTTACCTGTGGGGTGAGTACACTGAACTCCACTGAGCCCAGAGTTGGGGACTGAAAACTCATGCACTGTAGGATGGGTCTCAGACCTTACTAACGAGGAACGCGATAAATATCAGGACTCCACAGCCAGCTGGAGAAGAGGAAAAGAGGCTGTGGGTTCCGTCTCCACAGTGCGACTCAGGCTTGGGGTCCCTTGCTGTCCGGGGCCATTCCCAGCTGTGTGTCTGTCTGATGACCGTGTCTTCCACTGTGCTGCCCGAGGGACCCACACAATGTCCTCCCTTCCCTGGCCCTCTGTGTTCCCCAAGAGCACGCACCTCACGAGCTGCTGGAATACGTATCCTCGTTGTCTTGTGTCCTGAGCCAGCTCTGGCCAAGGTCGCTCTTTTCCTCTCCCTTCGGCTCCCTTCACTCACGCAGAGGAGGCAGGGAGTCGATTCCTTCCATGCAGCTTCCGCTGCGCTAAGAATCTGGGGCTGCGGGATGCAGAGTCCCCGGTCTCATTGTGCAGATGGACATGCAAATGAACAGAGCTGCCAGAGGCCGCCGTGGCTCCTCTCGCTCTGTGAGACATGGTGGTTTGATGGCAGAGACTGTGTGGAAAACTCCCGCTGTCACTGACCCTTCGCTGTGCCGAGTCCTCCTGCCAGAGGCTCCCGTGCATCTGTGGAGCCTGATGATCCTACTGCTTAAAACCTCTGGCACCTTCCGCACTTCCAGCTATCTGTTCTGTCTGTCTGTCTCTCTGTTTCCCAGTGCTGCTCCCCTGGAGGACATATTCCCTGACCACTAACCAGGTTACGTGGGGTTTCAGCAGGGGGCAGAGCCACTCCAATTTTGGAGTAGAGAATTAATCTTCACACCTAGAGTGTAGAGCACATGGGGGCAACTGGAACAGGAAAGATCCTGCACGGGCGGGCAAGCTCTGGAGGTCACAGCACATAGACTGTACTCAGCACTGTACTCAGTGCACACAGTGAGGTCTCAAAGCCACAGACTTTGAAGATCCCTCCGAAGCCTGGGCATAGCCTGGCTGGAGGCATCCCACCTGCTCCCAGCCCTGTGTCACCTCAGGCACAGAGCAAGGCCTGCTGGATGCTGCTGATTTGGCCAGAGAAGAGCGCCATGAGCTGGGCAGGCGGGTCCTCCTTCAGTGTCCAGCCTTGCAAGGCTTGACTTTGGGCACCTTTAACTTGGACGCATACGTATGCTCAAAAGGATTCTGGGAGCGGTCATTCCTAGCATGACCACTGATGGTTGACAGCCCAGCATGCTTACCTGTCTGCCACTCCAACTCTGCAGCCACCTGTGTGAGCGACCAGGAAAAACACCGTGCTTTGTGACTCTTTGTCCTATGCTGCTCTGCTTTGCCTAGCAGATACTGTCACTCATCACCTTTTGCATGTTGAAAATGCCAGGTCCATCAGTGCCTGACAAAGAAAGGAAACACAGTCACTTCCAGCGCTGTCCCCTGCTGTTGACTGTCCTCTGAGGCCAGGGATCCATCTTGTCTGGCTGTGGTTGGCTACAGATGCTCTGACTTTGCTACCTCGGCACTGTGACAGCAGAGGGAGCCGGGATCCAATTCTGACCTCTCTGGCGCAGTTGCCCGTTCGTTGCTTCAGCCTTGCACGTGAGGAGTGAAATCCGAGTTTACCTGACTACAGTGTTGAAAGGGAGAAAGCATAGCCGTTAAGTTCTGTCCCTACGCAGAGTGGACTTCGGTGGTGAAAATACATCCCTTCTCCCTGTAGAAAGGTTAAAAACACTAATAGGGTGAGCATGAAGACAACAGAGTCTTTTTAATGTCTGGGCATTGTGGTTTGCTGTTAAACTTCGTGAATATGAGACCAGAACATTTTTAAATGCACTGATAGGGTCTCGGTAGTGACGAAAATCATTTGAATTTGTTTACAGCGATACCCATATGCGATCAGTTACTAATCCTTTTGACTGTGTTCCAACAATAACAAACTTTAAACGATGGTTTATTAAATTTATTTTCATACTATAGATTACAGATGTTGTAGAATAGTACATACCAGTCTGCCTAAATCTTTTAGAGTTTTCAAATCCCCCAAATATAAAACTATACATTAAATAAATGAAATCCAGTATTTTCCTAACAATACAAAGGATGGAGACATTTGTAATTAAAATGAGCTTAAAGAAATGGGGCTTGGACCATCCTGAAATGCAAACCATCCTTCTTTCATTGAGTTTCACGAGACTCTGGCTAGCGTTTTACAAATAGAGAAAGAATGAAATGGTAAACTTATATCCTTTAAAGCTCTTACAGTTTCATCTACTACTCTAAATTAAATGCAGACTTGTTCACCAGTCCGTTTGCTTTCACATATTAAATGCAGCAAAGGAATTCAAATCTTGTGATTAAACTTTCTGGGGTGAGCACAGTCTTAGCAGATGGGGCTCCTTCGCCCCTGCGTCCGCCCCTGCCTCTGAAGACCCCACGCCTTGGTCCTCACACGGCCCCTGTAGGTCCCAAGGGGCACGGTCTCTGCTGAGTGGGGGAGGAATGGTGGGACACGTACACGTAACCTCTGCCTTCTTGGCCCCCCTTGTTTTGCTTCCAGACGGGGTGACAGGGCTGAAGGAGCTGGCTTTCCTGCGGGACCTGGCCGAGCAGAACTCAGGGAAGTATGGCGTGCCTGACCGCAGCGCCCTGCCAGTTACCAAGGGCAGCATGATGGTGCTGAACCAGCTGAGCAACCTGGAGACCACGGTGGGCAGGTTCTACACCAACCTTGCCAACCGGATGATCGATGAGGCTGTCTTCAGCCTGCCCTTCTCCGACGAGATGGGAGACGGTGAGTCAGGGGCTTCCTGCTAGGTGGGGGAAGAGATGGAGACGTGGGGATGGGGCTAGAGATGTCACATTCGAGAGCAGAAGGCCCTGCCCAGTCCCTGACCGCAGTGGCACCCTGGCGCTTCGAGGCGAGGCTCCCACGGGCTCTCTAGTGTCCATGTGTAGTCAGTGGCTTTGCACCCTAAGTGGCTTTGCACCTCAAGTGGTAAGTGAAGTTCAGACAATCTCAGGGTCCCCCCCAGCAGCTGGGTGCTGCTGCATGGCCTGGCAGTGACGCCGCCCACCCGTGTGTCCCTGCTGTCCTGTCACTCGATAGCACCCTGCTTCTGTCGTCATGGTTACTGGCAGCAGCATCCTGACACCCCAAGTTATCTGCAGTGGGATATTGGGGGAAGTCTTAACTCTCCTAGGACTCGGCTTCCTGGCTAAAAAACAGAACTAGATTTCCCTCAAGACAGTTCGAAGATTAAATGCTGTTGTGCGTGTGCAGTGGCTGTGGACGCCTGGCCAGCAGTGCGAGTGCCACTGCGGTCTTTCCTTCCTCCTGTGCCCACTTGCCCCGCCCCCACAGAGCAGGTTACCAGCCCGACGGCAGTGTGGCTGCATCACAGTTTGATGTTAGGCTCAGTTAATATGAACTCTCCAAAATGCAGGTACTCAGAGAAAATTCATCTAATAAGTAACAAGCGCAGAGGGAGTATTTTCTGGAAACAGGTGAATGTGTTCTTCTATAAAGAAGAAATAGGGCAACTCAGCTGCTGCTGTCCCTCTGTCTGATTGCCTTCCAGGTATGCAGAACAGGGACCCCATGTTTAAGTAAGGTTGTCTCCAACATAAAAAAAGTTTCTGTTCCACACACACGTGACTTTGCACACTAATCAGCCACAGTGCACACAGGGCCGGGATGGTACACATCTCATGTCTGACCAGGAAAGCTCTGAAATCCCACAGCTTTTGTGCCAAAACCCGGCCCTGCACAAAGGCAGAATCGAGCAGCCGAATTCTGTCACCAGGGAGGCGAGACCCTTTCTTAAGGTCCCCTCTGCAACCAGAGAGTGACTCCGAGGCTTTCTGTCAAGTTACAATACCATGCCTTGGTTGCCTGTTGTTCCATGGTGTCCCAGTTCATGTGTCCTGTACAGTGGCTGCCAGTCCGGACATCACCTGATGGTCTGTGTCTTTTCATTCTGTGTCCCCGCCCCCAGGGGTGTTGAGTGGCAGACATACCCTATAACTCCATGGCACGAGGCATCAGTAAAAGCAGACCCCTATGTGCGTGACTCTGATCAAAGCCACTAAGATGTCACAAGCTGGGCATTTACATCCTTTGAAAGCCAGTCTGGGTGCTTTAGGTTGGGGCAGAATGTCAGCGTGGCAGGGACTCACATCCTTCTGTTTGCCACAGTGGGATAGAGCGTTTTCTACCGACTTGATGGAGAAGTTGAAGTGTCGGCCTGTCTTTCTTTTTTTCTTTCTTTCTTTGTCTTTTTTAAGATTTTATCTTCAACCTGTGCAGAGAACAGAAACTCAGAAGGAGCGTGTGTCTGGCCCTGGGGTATTTCACTTGTGCTTTTGGGGCTAGGAAAATGGCTGTAGTCAGGATGAGAATGGAGCTGAGCTGTAGAGCACTTGCCCAGGGTGTGTAAGGTCCCGGGCGCCATCCTCAAGTTGCAGCAGAGCCAACATATCTCAGCGAAGGCCTGGGGATCTGGTCTACTGTGCCGGCCCTTACCTTTGAAGCCCATTTGCCCAGGGAGACCCAAGCAAAAGCATGCAGAATGCATTCTTAGAACTTCTCAAGTGTGTGTGCCTTCCAGTGTTTTATAGCAAGGGTGTGTTCTAACTGTAACCTGCCGAGAGAATGCCCTGAACATGAGAAGGGACCCAGCATGTGACTTGAGAGTCTCAATGTGGTGCCCACTTCCTCCCGGCTGTGAGGTCGAAGTCCAGATGCCTCCCCGGGGTCACAGAGGAGGGGCTCTCTGCTTAGCCACAGTGCAGGGACACAGACCCGGAGGAGAGAGATGCCCCATGTCCATGTCTGCAGCCCTTGACCAGCATGCTGTAGGGGGTGGGGTTATTCCATCTCAGCCCATGTCTGGTCCCTGTGGAGCCTCAACTGTCAAGGTGGCCAGGGAGCCCAGATGTCCAGGCTCAGGGCTGCACCCAAACAAACACACCCAAGACTCACAAAAGCTGACATGCTTTCCCCCTAGCCCTGGCCCTGGCCCTAGCCCTGACCACGGGGACACCTGGCTACCTGGACACCCATTTCTTCAGGAACTCAGTGTCTCTGTCAGCGGCTCAGAGTTCCCCATGGCAGCTTCTGGCCCTTTCAAAAGGCTGCACCTCTCTTCCCAGTTTCTGAGAAGCTGCAGCAGTGGTCTGGACGAGTAATGCTTCTGAGGACTGCCCTCACACAGTGTCTCTTGATCCAGAATCTTCCCGGAGACCAGGAAAGCGGTTGCCTCTGTGTCCCTTACACAAAAATGTAGCAAGGGCTCAGGGAAGTCCCGGCCACTGTCCCCAGCTGGAGGAGACCTCAGGTTCTCCCAAGTCCTTGTCCTGTGGCCTCTGTTTAAATGAACTGCGAACACTTTCAGATTGGCTGAAGGGCTCTCTCACCTCCCTCTCCAGCTCACCTACAGCTTGATGAGGGTGATCACAGTGTGCGGTGAATGTTTCACAGTTATTCCAGTAAAGCACGCATCACAGTTAATCTGACACACAGTCCTCCCTCCTCCCAAGTACATCCATCTCACCGTCCCGGCCACATCCTACAGCAGCTTTGGAGAGCTCTCTCCTGAGGGTCTTTGGTTTGCACTTTCTGGCAGTCTTGATGTCCTGAACCCATTTCCTGGTCACTTTGATTTTGGGGAGGAACTGGAAGGCGCCCAGTGCCAGTGAGTAAGGTGGAGGAAGACACAGCTTGTGCTTCACAAGCTGCCTTCCTGCCAGGTGCTTTTCTGATCACACCCTCTGAAGATCCTCAGGAGAGAGTGCTCCAGAGCTGCTACAGGGCAGCAAGGATGGTGAGATGAGGGTGCTCAGAGCCAGGGAGCTTCCTGTCGGGGGTGAACAGCAGTGTCTTTTTCTCCATATGTATTTAAAATTAAACATTGACCGTGTGTTTTGTTCACACCCCAGCTGTCTGCCAGAAGCATTTTGGTTGGTTTCTGGGTCGCTCAGGTTTTCTCCTAAGCAAACCGCGAGCTGATACCATCTCTGGGCTCACTGAGGGCATCACCAGACTCTCCCAGAGCCTTGCCGTCCGGCCTTAGCCTTAGCCATGCTTTGTGTCCCACAGGCCTGATAATGACTGTGAGTAAGCCCTGTTACTTTGGAAACCTCCTGCTGGGGATCGTGGGTGTGGACGTGAACCTGGCCTACATCCTGGAAGACGTGACCTATTACCAAGACTCGCTGGCCTCCTACACGTTCCTCATAGACAACAAAGGTAACAGGCTGACCCTCGATCCTGGGGAAGAGTGGCTTCCTCAGCTGTACAGAGAAAACGGTCTGCAGTGTTCTGGTCCCAGCAAATGCAGCAGGATAGAGAAGCTGTCTGAACAAAAGCCACACGGCTAGCCCTGTTCACGGGACACCTAGCAGAGGCAGGCAACAAAGTACATGGTCTCTGTGTTGTGCAGAGGGAGGGTAACAATTCTTTGTAATGTGCAATTGAATAATATACCAAACGTGGTCCTGGCTGGACCTGATGGCACACATTTGTAATCCCAGCACTCGAGAGGCTGAAGCAAGAGGATCTCTGAGTGCAGGGCTGGTCTGAGCTACACATAGTAACACCTTCTCTCATAAAACAAACAAGTGAACAAACGAAAGGAAGGCGGTACCTTTGGCCAGCTCTATCCTGTAGCCCACCTTTTTACCCATTTTTTTGTTTGTTTATATTTTGCCCTTTTTTTGAGTAAAAAGGAATTCTTTGGGGTCACACATAAAATATACAATATAATCTATGTATACCTCAAAACTTACTTTATTTTTTATATTTTTCTGGTAATATGAAAGAAGGAGAGCAATAGAAAACCCTGCTAACCCTGCAGGTTAGCAAAAGGTCTGACGTGGCTCTGTGGCTTTTATGTTGCTGTCTTTGGAGTTTTCAGCACTAAGGTTTATGAGGCAGATTAGAAATATCATAAAATGAAAACCAGTACTGCCAAAATGTTCCTGGTAATTTATGACCTCTTTCTGCACCTCGGGAGTCTCGAGTGAGCCCAACAGAGCAGGTTGGGACCAGGATGGGGCTGGGCGCTGGGCCTCACCAGGCGCTGCTGGAGAACTGGGCTCCCCAGCCACTCTCTCACGCATGCGCTCTGCTTCCCGTTGCAGGCTACACGCTCATGCACCCGTCTCTCACCAGGCCGTACTTACTCTCCGAGCCCCCCCTCCACACGGACATCATTCACTATGAAAATATCCCCAAGTTTGAGTTGGTTCGGCAAAATATCCTAAGGTAAGGACAAGGTGGGGTCATCGCATTTTCTTCTTTTCGCGTGGACCTGGTGAGCTCAGGTACCAGGTGTGATCACCACATGCACGGATGGATGTTTAGACTTTTAACAAACGTGTTACAGTAAAAGACACATCAAGGTAGGTGGGGTTTAAAAAAAGGATAAAAGGGGGTGGAGGATATAGCTCAGCCTCACCGTGCCTGCCCTGCAAGCGCAAGGTCATGAATTCAATTCCAGGTACCAAAAAAAAAAAAAAAAAAACAAAGAGAAGGTTGAGCTGAGAGCAGCTGAAGTGGGAGAAGTATTTTGCGTCTTACAGGAGAATAACGACAGTGTATCTTTTATTGTAATAAATTCAGTTATTATCGTTGTTGATCAAACATTGGTGACCATTTCTGTCAGATAAGAACACAGTGCTGGCCGGGCTTGGTGGCACGCACCTGTAATCCCAGTATTTGGGAAGCTGAGGCAGGAGGACTGCATAGATTTCAGACCAGCCTGGGCTGCACAGTGAGACTCTGTCTCAAACAAAAGGAAAGCAATGCTGTGTGGTCACCCAGCTTATTTCCCAGATCTGCTACCTGTGACTTCCAGCTCCTCCCCCAAGTCCAAATGGCCAGGAAAGGGAACTGTGTGGATCAGTGTGAGGCGGCCAGGACTGCACTGAGGCCCTCAGGAGAGCCCACTCCAGAGCTGCAGGAGCGGCCCCACTGGTGGGAGGAGTGTGTGCAAAAAGCAAAGATTTTAAGGGAGATTAATGTGGTGTGTCTTTTAGTATAATAGAAAATCTTTAATTAAACGTTCAGTGTAATTTTTCATCACACCTCGGATGAAGATGTCCTATAGGGAATAGGACAAGTCTGTGATTATTTTATTGCTATCAGAATATCTTGAGTACTTTTTCCATGAGAGTAGCAGCTAAGGTTTTCTTGGCCTCATATAGCAGAGAAGGCTCAGAATTATTACTTGTTTGTAAAGTCTTCCAAGTCATTGCCAGTGTTCACGTTGTCTTTAACTGTGAAATAAGCTCTGTGATACCTTGTTTTCTAAAAGTACCAGTTTTACCAGACTAGAAAACACTGGCAAAGTAAAAGGCAAGGGCCAGCACTGCTGCATCTGCCAAACCATGGTCTGGCATAATCCCGAGCTCTCCAGGGTGGCCTTTCACAGTGAAAGCAGCCTGGGCACTTCCCGCGCCAACCCACAGGTCTTAGACTTGGGGTTCAGGGCTGGGGAGTGAGGATGTCCAGCGCAGGGCCGATGCATGCCTTTGGCGGATTGCAGACCTCAGGTTGCATCTCTCGGGGCCCTGAGTTTCAGGGCGCTTCTGACATCCAGAGCGGGAGGGGCCGCAGACGCGTGGCTTCTGCTTGGCTTTGCGAGCCACTCCCCTTCACCTTTGCACTCTGTCTCCTGGTGCAGCCTCCCCCTGGGCAGCCAGATCATCTCGGTCCCTGTGAACTCGTCTCTCTCCTGGCACCTCAACAAGCTGCGGGAGTCCGGGAAGGAGGCCTACAACGTGAGCTACGCCTGGAAGATGGTGCGTGGGGCCTGCGGGGCACGGCAGGGCTGGGTCCATGGTCAGTCGGGCTCGCAGTGCAGGGTGGTGGGTGAGGACCACCTTCCGCAGAGGCTGCCTCCCTTCCTCCTTTGCTGTTTATAAACATGACAGTTATTCATGGTGAATCAACCAAACTACACACAAGGATGGGCAACAGTAAGCAGCGCTGTTCCCTGCCGCTGTGAGCACAGCAGGACTGGAATGCAGCCTCAGGGAGACACAAACTGCCTTGGGTGTGCAGCCTTTCTCAGAGACTTAAATTGCACTTCCCGCCTGCCTGCCTTGAAGAAATCAGCAGAGCAGGCTTAGGAGGCTGCACTGTCTTTCACTTCCCACCTCGAGGGCCCTCGCCCATCTCGGTTACTTACAAACCGTCTCAGGCCTGGGAACAGACCCACAGCCGCACTCCGCACCCACTTCTGCCTACCATGTGCAGTTGTGCTCCGGCACTTTTACCGGTGTGACAGGTGCCACAGACATGTGACCCACTGCATGATGGCTCACACAATGTCCCGAGGCAGGGACCCCTGGGCCTCCGGTCATCTTCTAGGACAGCACCATTGTGTCCAAGGTCACTTGCTAATTGGCTTTTGACTGTTTGGGAATATTTTCCTTGCTAAACGTTAGGTGAGCACCCATCTTTGGGAGGAAGGTAGATATGAAAGTGCTTGCATGTCCATGTGGGCACTGCACCCTGCAGCCCCACACTGGGTACCCGGGTGAGGCTGAGGCAGAAGCCTGGGCCAGCCAGGACACTGCCCTTGCACTCCGAGAAATGCTGCTCACCTCCTGCCGGACAGGAAAGTGGTCACTGGGAACCCAAACTGAGAGCTGGGTTCTGCTTTAAAGGCTGCTCGTGTTTCCCCCACTTGAGGATTTGCAATTGGCTGTAAAGTAGTAGATTCTTGGAACACTCACCACAGAGCCAGGGGCGTGCTCTGGAGAACATTTTCAGCCCAGATGGGAAGCCTCACACCGTCAGCCCGTGCACCTGTGACTGTTAATAACCCCTTGAGTAAGCAAAGGAGGCACCCACACCCCTCACCCACACATCAGCTATCCCATGCACGCCTTCCAATGAGAGTGGAAAATGGAGGCCACAAAGAATGAGCTGTGGGATGCCCTTGTGCCCACAGATCCTCGGGCTTCCGTGTCAGCAATTCTTTCCTGGTTTTCACAGGTACAGGACACGTCCTTCATTCTGTGCATCGTGGTGATACAGCCGGAAGTGCCTGTGAGACAGCTGAAGAACCTCAACACTGTGCCCAGCAGCAAGCTGCTATACCACCGCCTAGACCTGCTGGGCCAGCCAAGCGCCTGCCTCCACTTCAAGCAGCTGGCGACACTTGGTAGGCAACACCCTAACCCCCCCACGCAGCTCTGAGCGCCCCACAGGTGGCAGCTGCCACCTGCAGTGCGGGGTGGGGTGAACGTGTGAAGGGTCGAAAGCCTCCCCCTGGGTCCAGCCTCCAGCACACGCCAGGGCAGGGTCTGTGTTCCGGTGATGCATGGGATGAGCTCACACCAGAAACCAGAAGAGAGCAGGGCCGGAAGGAGGGGAACAGACAGGTTCCAGTCAAGCAGAGTTCTGTTCCCAGTCCCCCCCAGAGTCTCTCTGTGCACGCTAGGGCGAAAAGGACGTTTTGCTGTGAGCACACACTCCCCATCCCCATCTGGTGCACCTGTCCCAAGGCCCTGGCTGCTTCCCACAGCAGCCCTGGAAAGCTCTTCCCTGAGCGGCTTCAGGGGTGCTGTCCCAGGTCCACTCAGAAGGTCTCCCTTCCCTAGTCATTCTGACTTTGAGGAGGAGCCGGAAGTCAAGTGTTGCCTGATCTGGCGAATACGGTGGACAGGGACACAGTAGTATTTTTTCCTGAGAGAAATTGGCATACTTGAGAAGTGGCCATAAATACAACTACAGCGAATGTTTAAATTTACAAATGTGTTGAAGCAAAGACAGATTGCCATGAATCCCCCTCAGAATACTCTGCCTCAACTCAAACAGGCTTATCTTACCATTCTTGACTGTGTGTCTTTACTATAATAATTTTTATTTAAACACTCACTGTATCTTTTGATCCCCCCCACCACCCCAGGACACTAGCATTTCCCCAGACTCCAGGATACGACCTTAGCCACTCCTGCTCCTGCTGAGCCATGCAGTTCCAGGAGCACAGAGACAGCCCGTGAGTGCAAGGTCCTGTTACTGGCGGGCGGACGGGTGAAAAATCTCTAGCCCGCTGGGGGTCTTGCGGAGATCTGGATCTGTGTGAGGGTTTAGGAAGAGGCAGAGAACTGGAAGGAAGCAGCGGGGATCTGCACCACAAGGTGCCCTAGATTCACATTCAGCACCTGAGCTGACCTGTGGAGCAGGAGGACGTCTGAGATAAGGGCAGAGCGTTTTCCAAGAACAACAGAAAGTAGCAAAGCTGAGGCCGGTTCTTCCTTTGTCACTGTATAATCGCCTTTTTATTCCTGGAATTCTTCCTGCCGGAAGGGAAGGGAGCAGTAACTCCACTTAGGATTCATATGACCCGTGTTGCCCAGGCCTGCCATCCCTCATGTGCCCGACACGGCCCCACGGTGTTCTCAGTTCAGAGAATAGGTGCCCTTTCCATTGTCCACTCCTCTCCTCACGGCCAGGAGGGTCCCATGCTCGACAGTGAAGAATCCGTGCATAGCTGGCAAGCTGAGCAGGGGTCACCGTGTTGGAAGAGGATCGAGGCCAGGCATCCTCACTCTACATTCCAAACTCAAGCACTGGCTTTAGAGCTTCTGCCTTATGTGCCATTCTAGAACATTCTTCATGGACACGAGCTCAGAAGAGCTGGCCAGCTCTGCAGCCCCTTCTGTGACATGCGCCAGCAATTTAGAAAGAGAGGCCAGGCGCGCCACTGTGGGGAGAGAGATGTCTCTCCTGAAACTCAGCTGTCTCCAGGACTAGGCCTGGATTTTCACCATTTCCTCTGGGTCCCTCGTAGCTCCGCTGTCCAGTATGGTGGCTGCCAGCCGAACGGTAGCTCTGGGCCTCTGAATAGGGCCAGGTCAAGAGGTCTGGGAGGTGTGAAGCACACAGCTAGTTTTTACCTCTGTTATTTGTTACAGTGACCATAGTTTTGACGGGTTGGAGTCCATGAGTATTTAGTTAATGTAATAAATTTCTTTCCGGATTTCTTAACATGGTTACTAGAAAGCTTAATTACAGTACATTTGTGGGTTGTATTGTATTTCATCATGACAGCGCTGCCTCTTAGAGGTCACTCAGAAAAGGTGGAGCTGACCAGCACCAGTGCTGGGAAGACTGTCCCTTCCCCCTGTCCAGGCATTTCCACCCGTGTGCGGGGTCACCCAGGCAGCTTAGGGTCTGCTGGGCATGAGGGGCAGGATAAGTGAGATACAAGAGAAAGGGAATGGAAAGTACAGGAAGTTACTGCAGATGATGGTTTGCTACTGATTTCCTTGGCAAGGATTATGAGATTTGGTGATCAGGTATTCTATGTCAGAGCTTCCTGCAGGAGGGTGGTGGAAATACATCACAAAAAGACAAGAATCCAGCCAAGCATGGGGCACAGGCTTGTAATGCCAGCATTCTTTAAGTTGAGTCAGGACAATTCCAGGTACAAACTCAGCCGGGGTAACTGAGTGACTTGGGGAAACACTGTCTCAAAAACAGAAAAGTAAGTGGCCAGGGATGTAGCTTAGTGTAAAGGCCCTGTTTCAGTACCCACCCTACCCCCCAAAAAGTTTTGTCTATTTCCTAGACACAAGGAAGACCACTTCATAGGACATTTCACCTCTCTCTGCCACGCCTCCCTCTGTGGCCCATTGTTAAAGCACAGGCCAGCTCCCCACTGCCTCCTGAGAACAGCAGACTCACCCTAACAGTCCCAGAGTGACCATAATCCTGTCGTAAAATCTTCTTGAGAATCACCAAACAGCTCTGGCTGTCACTGGAGCGAAGCCTGGGAGAAGAAAGTGGGAACCCACCCATAGCAGGGACCCGAGAGGCCACGTCTGCAGTACACGGAGCCGCAGGCCTGCCTTGGGCAGTTTCCAAGGGATGGGAGGAGTGGCACAGATCGAGCTGGGCCCCAGTTCGGAGCCTCTGCTAAAGGGAACCACAGCCTTCATTCCCCCATCCGCTGATAGGGCTGAATCACCAGAGGAACAGAAAGGAAACAGGGTCCAGCGGGGTCCTTTCATCGGGCAGGTTATGAAATGTCCAGTTTTAAACCGGGTGGTTGTGGCACAGTCCATGCCAACGTCTGTGGCTTAGATCTGAGTCTGAGTCTAAGCACAGAAACCGAGTTTCTTTCGGTTGTTGTTAGTACTGGGGATTGAACCCACAATCTCACACTTTGCAGACAGGCACTGTGCTGCTGAGCTAAACCCCCAACCCAAGATCCAACATCACACCAACGCTCACCCCGCACCCACTGTGTGGCCCCAGGCAGAATCACACGGGGCCCTCCTGAGGGAGACCCAGGCTCCTGGGCGCCAGCCTTCCTGCAGATTCGTGGAGTCTGGGGAGTGTTTGTTGGTTGTTCGGTTTCCTAGTCCTAGCGGTTCAAATCCTGGGCTTGGCTTGTGCTTGGCCAACTTCTACTGAGCTACACCCCAGGTCCCCACTAGTATTTCCATCTGTCGCCCAAGTACAGTCAACAGACCCCAGGTCTGAGCCGCATGTAGTGGTGTGCTCCTGTACCCTAGTACCCTGGGAGGCTGAGGCGGCGGATCACAAGCTCCAGCCCAGCCTGGAACGTTCAGCATCTTTGAGGCACTGTCTCAGAATTTAACATTTTTAAAAGGGGGTGAGGATGCAGGTCAGCAAAACTGTCTTGGGTTCCATCTCCTGTCCCAGAGAGGAAAGTCTCCAGACTGCAAGGCAACAAGACACCAGGGAAAAGTGACAAAAGGAAAGAGGAACGACCCAAGATTGCACTGAGGTGGTGCCTTGTGGTGCTTTTCCAAAGTACAGCAAGTTTGAACAGTAGAAATTCCAGGACGATATCGGTTTGTTTCTGAAATGGGAAACTGTGCTCTTCCACTCAGATAAGACCAGGCGTAAAGTGCATGTGCCTCAGGGCAGACGTCACGTTTCAGCTTTGTTTTTGCCCCGGACATGTCCGGCCTCTTCCCTCTCCCTCAGCAGTGTCTCTGGCACTGCCAGCCGTCACTTCCTGAGCACATGTGCCCGGTGGGTGTTAATCCACCCCTGCTCACTTGTCGATGTGCAGGGTCCGTGCCGCTATCCCCCTGCCCTGGGTCCATCTCATCGTCGGGCCAGGTTCCACACAGCCTGGCCCCACATCACTGGCATCATGGTCCTGCAGCACCCTGCAGGGCCAGGCCCGACCAGGCCAGGCTGCACCCAGAGGTCCATGCCCTCCGTCCTCTCTTGCAGAGAGCCCCACCGTCATGCTGTCAGCCGGCAGCTTCTCGTCCCCCTACGAGCACCTCAGCCAGCCCGAGACCAAGCGCATGGTGGAGCACTACACCGCCTACCTCAGCGACAACACCCGCCTCATAGCCAACCCGGGGCTCAAAGTGAGTGCCACTCGGGGACCCCAGGACTTGGACAGCATCATGGCAGCGACCTGTGATGGGACACGGGTGGCCCAGGCCGGGAAGCTGAGACCCGGGACAGGAGTGGAGCTGGGGTTTCCCCAGTAGGGGTATAGTTAGGAGACAGCGTGGGACTCTCCTGCCCCCTTTCTGCCCGGGAGCCGAGCCAGTTCTCTCGAGCTCCCACAGGGAGAGCCTGGCCAGGGCGTTCTTCCGAGGAGCCGCCTCTCTGGGAGCTTTTGTCATCCCCCGTCTGGAAGCGTCCACCTGCATGGGCAGAGTTTCAAGAAGGGATCAGCCTTGGTGCCTCTCTGCGGGAGCCCCACTCTTTTCATGAGCATTTAAAGGAGCCCCACCGTGGCCCCTTTTGTTCCCAGTTCTCTGTCCGAAATGAAGTCATGGCGACCAGCCACGTCACTGATGAATGGATGACACAGATGGAAATGAGCAGCCTGAACACTTACATTGTTCGCCGTTACATAGCAACGCCCAACGGTGTCCTCAGAATTTACCCTGGCTCCCTCATGGACAAAGCCTTCGACCCGACCCGCAGACAGTGGTGAGTCGCAGGGCATCCTGGGGCCTTGGGGATGCGGTGAGCACACAGCACGGTGACTTCAGCAGTCATATTGCAGATGCTGGGGGCAGAACTCTCCCCTTGGGTTTTCTTTTTCCTTTTCTTCCTGTTTGTTTGTTTGTTTGTTTGTTTGTTTGTTTTTTGTCTTCTTGAGATGAGGTCTCTCTATGTAGTTCAGCCTGGCCTTGAGCTCACTTTGTGGCCCAGAATGGTCTCAAATTTGCAGCAATCCTCCTGCCTCAGCCTCCAGAGTGCTGGGATTACTGGCGTGTACCACCACACCCAGCTCCCATGGTTTTCCAGCCATGGCGTTAACAGTAGCCTTGTGGGTTTTCACTGCCTACAAAGTTTCTATGTCTTCACGGAGATTCAGAGACTGAAATGCCTCTCTCCTGGCCGGCATGAGTCTCTGTGGGTTGTTTGGTTCCTGCCATGAGCGTGGTATGTCCTCCGTAGTGGGTGACCCTCACCTTGCCTCTTGTGGTTGTGGTATTAAATCGTGGCTCATATGGGACCTGCACATAAAAATTCAGAATCTTTTTATTTCCAGGCTTTATTTTAGTCTAATTTCCAAGAATGCCAGTTGAGGGCATTCATTTCTACCTCATCCACTGATCCCTGTGGCTTCAGCCTCTAAAACCTCTGTGCTGCGGATCTCTAAAAACCGCACGTCACTGGGCATGTTGGTGCACGCCTGCAATCCCAAGCCTCGGGAGGCCAAGGCAGGAGAATCACTGCAAGTTCAAGGATAGCCTGGGCTGTATAATGAAGTCAAGGCCAGCCTGACCCACAGAGCAAGAACCTGTCTCAAAAAGACAAAAACAAAACAAAGCCACACATACAGTGAGGTCGTATTTTTATAAAACTAGGAGACTCACCATCCCTTAACCTCTTGTGTTGAAGCTACAGTCAGACACATAAGGTAATAAACCTCTGGGATTTCCATAAACCGTAGGCACGGTTTAGGGCAACTGTTATGAGCTCCTTGTCCTCCATTCCTGGGAAATGACCAGTCTCTGTCCCCACAGGTACCTTCATGCCGTGGCCAACCCAGGCTTGATTTCCCTGACCGGCCCTTACCTGGACGTCGGTGGAGCCGGCTACGTCGTGACCATCAGCCACACCATCCACTCGTCAAGGTACCACCGTCCCTGATTTTCTAGTCCTTTCACATCCTTCAGGGAGACCAGGGATTAGCTCAGTGGCTCAAGCACTGGCCTGGTAAGCGCAAGGTCAGGAGTTTGATCCCAGTACCAAAGAGAAAAAAGTTTGCAATACAGATCCCTCGGATGGTGGAATAGGCTTGCTCCCACCCTCTGTGGAGCGAGGTGTCTGTGAGTTGAGGGGTGAAGGCTCCAGCCCGGGGCCTGGGTGCAGCGGCTTGGAGAGACGTCTGACGCAGCCAAGGGAAGACCTGGCAGGGGCCGAGAGCCCGCCAACAGCATTATGATGAGAGGGGAAAGCAGCCCTCAGGTTGCCGCTCGTGGGTTTGGGCTCAAGGCTTTAGAAGTCGTCTGTTTTTCAATTTGTCCAGGAAACTGTATTTTGAAAAAATAAACAAGACTTTTGGAAACAAATGTGCTGGGAACGCTATATGAGGTCCTGTCACCGCCAATGGAGCTAAGAGCTGTGTGCTTCCTACACGCCACTGCTTCAGAGGCTGAGCTACCGGTGTCCCTGAGGTGTCCCTGAGAGGGCAGTGGTATCACGGAGTCCCCTGCACACTCCAGGGGCTGCATCCTCTCAGCATAGGGGACCACAGGACAGCGCAGTGGTGGCCCGTCCTGCCGGGGTTTGACTTCTGCAGTCCAGGGGCTCTGGGTGCAGGAGTGGAGTGCGAGCGAGCAAGCCAGGTAACCGGGATTCACGGTCCCGTGGGCGGCCGGCTGCTGACTTCTTCTCAGGGTGCGGCCCAGGCCTGTGCTGCAGCAGCTTGTGTGGAAGAGCAGCGGTGCTCCCGTCTCTGTCACAGCCCCGGTGCCGGGCGTCACCCCCAGGAGTCGGTGGTGAGGCGTCTGTCCCCATGTGAAGCCTCATCCCTCGAGGAAGAGCAAATAGAGGCCATTTCTTTACATGAACGGAATCCCAGGGTCCTGACTACAGCGCTGTGGGCCAGAACTGGGCTTTCATTTTTGTTTTTGTTTTTGTTTTGTTTTTTATTGGTACCAGAGATCGAACTCATGACTGCCTGCTTGCAAGGCAGGCGCTTATGCCGCTGAGCTAAATCCCCAGCCCCCTATTTTTGTTTTCGTTTTCCGTGTTTGCTGCGTGTAGCGGGCGCATGCTCCATGGGTGTTGGTGCATAGATGCGGCACAATGCCTTCTTTCCTTCCCTCTCTGCTCTCTGTGCCTTGCTCTGCTTCCCTTTAGCGAAAGATCCAGCTCCCTTTCCCTGAGGTTTATGTTTTATTCTGCTCTTTCTTTATATTTTGGCTTTAAATATAGTTAAAACGGGGATAAAAGCCTGATTTTTATTCCTCTCATCAGAAGCTGTTCACATCCTCTCCTGCACATTTGGGACTTGAAGGGCAGATTTGCACACTCGTGCAAGGGCACACGCATGTGGGTTGGGATCTGAGTAAGTAGCAGGAATTTTGCTCATTCACAGGTGTTTACAAGTCAGCCCTCAAGTTAGAGAAGCCGGGGTTCGGATCCGCCTTCTGGTTGCCCTCCTGTTGCATCTTTGATCTACGTAATTCTCACAAGAGTAGGGATGACAGTGTGAGCCCTGGGTTCTGAGTCACCCCAAAGCCTCTGTTCCCCAGAACAAGTATCTGCCTCACCCTGCTGGACGTGCATTCTCAGGCCGCAGGCTTTGGGAACCCTGCTGAGCTGAGGGGGCCCTTTCCCACTGAAAGCTGCGTGCTTTGCAGTCCACACAGTGTAGACCACAAAGCTATCGCGTCTCCTCTGGTCCTCAGAAGCAGTGGCTATGCTGGGTGGACTGGTGGACAGCTCTGTCTGCCTGGTGATGTGAGCCTTGTGCACCAGCTTGGGAGCCTCACCAGCTGCTAACACAGGCAGCGTTCCCAGGACTGACCCCGTTTCTCTTTTGGCTTTGTTCTCACCAATAAGAGAAGGCTGTGGGTGTATGTGAAGTGAGCATTTAAGGACTCAAATAATACCCAGGAAGCTCTTAGAATCCTGCTTGGTGCCTGGTAAGGGCTCGGTGATCCTTACTTGGGTTATTTTTGTGCCATGTGCTCTTTGGACTCGGACATGAAGCAGAGTATCGATGTCCTTGTCAAAATCAGCTTGATGGGCATCAGAGAGGAGTCAGGAATCACACCCGGGTCCGGTACCCAAACGCAGTGGTTGTTGCCACGGTCATGCTGCTCGTGCTTCGCAGAGGGCCAGAGGGAGGTGATGATGCCGACCCAGTGGCTCTGTCCCGGCCTCCCTGAGCCTCCTTTGTGGCCTGAGACCCCGAATGGCATGGCCTTGTCTCAGGGAGTGAGGTCGCTGGTGAGGGTGACAAGCAGAGGCTGGTGACAGACCCAGTCTTGTGTTTGGGGGTTTCTGGGGTTTCTGGCACTTAAAGTCTCTGACGGGATTGCAGGCAGCCTAGTCTGACACCCATAGAAATGCCCGTTTGGTTGGATGTTTCTGGGACTGCTTTATGAGTTGCTATGGTAACCACACCACCATCTGAAGTGCAGGTGAAAGTCTGAGTCTGGACTTGGCAGGGCCAATGCCCAAGGCGGCCTCTGCACTGCGCTCATTCTGGGTGGCAGGAGGAGGATTAGGAATCGGATCAGCTCAGCCTGGATACCGCATGGCAGACAGAGTCAGACCTGGGGCCCGGACCCGGTGCTGTGAGCAGAAGGTGACCACACGACGCGTCTCTTGTCATCCCCGTGGCCATGCTTACCTCACTCACAAACCGAGAACTGCGATTCCATCCCTGCTCCAACACAAGAAATCAAACTCGAAGCAGCGCCTCACCACTCTGACTTAATAGCCAGGGAAAGGTCCTGGAGTCGGAGGCACCAGGCCCCAGCCTGGGACCTGGCCAGGCCCTCATGGTCCCAATCCTTTTCGGGTGGCTGTGGGAGAGAATCTCGGTGTGGTGGTTTGACCTCTGGTGTTGTTCACCTAATGAAACAGACAGGCGGACCGTGACACACGACAGCCCTTATAGACTTCTGCTCAGTAAACCGCAGGTCACAGAGAGCCAGGGCTCGAAGCGGAGCGTCCACCCGTCCAGCAGCAGCGGTAGTGGTGATCTGTGAAGTGCGTGTTCTCCTGCTGTGACAGACCCCTCCTCTCACCTCATGGCCCTTTGCCCCCCAGTGACCTCCTCCCGGGCGCTGCTGGGGTCCGGGCTGCTTGCTGAGCACTGGAAACACACCCCTCACTCCACCCCAAGAGCCGGCCCTGTGATGGGCTCTGTTTTCCAGCCAGAAAAGTGAAATTCGGAAAGGCTTCGTGGTGACCCCAGAGCCTGGGTGACAGAAACAGCAGGGCCAATGCTGGACATCACATCTGGACTGCTCTCCCTTGCCCAGCTCCTGTGTCACACAAAGAACAGAGTCTGGGCAGCCGCCAGTTGAGGCCTGGGCAGGGAACTGTGCTGTGTGCGGCTGGCCCTAGTGTTAGGAAGAAAAACACAGGCCGTCTCTGGGACTTGCCGCAGTCCCCACCTTTGTGAGGTCTCGGTTTCCTGACCTAAAATGTGGGGATCGTGAGGGGCAGCCAGGGCCCTCGCCCTGGGAGCTGCTGGAAGCGACCATGGTCCAGAAGCGTCCACCTCCCACAGTCCAGCCACTTTCTGAGTGACTGCAGCCTCGGCAATCAGCCAGCCCTGCAGGGGCTCCCCTGGCTGTCTTATCGGGGGCCATACTTGGATTCTGATGTTTTCTCTCAAAAAATTTCACGTGGACACTAAATCAGTCCTTGAGCCAGGTGTGGTGGTGCAGTGTGATCCCAGCACTCTGGGAGGCTGAGGCAAGAGCATTCCAAGTCCCAGCCCACCCTTGGTGTCTTGGCCTGAGGAGGGGGAGGCACCCCGGGTGACTGGAGCTGAGCTGCAGCCCTGGGACACAGCACAGCTTTCCCCTGAAGTAAGCTCCCTGTCCTGTCCCCCTTTCCACCTGCAGCACACAGCTGTCTTCCGGGCATACTGTGGCCGTGATGGGCATCGACTTCACCCTCAGGTACTTCTACAAGGTCCTCATGGACCAGCTGCCCGTGTGCAACCAGGATGGTGGCAACAAACTAAGGTGAGCCTTGGGGGCGCCGTTCCCGGCCACAGGCGGAAGGGAAGCAAGCAGGGGTCAGCGTCTGCAGACACATGGCAGGCCCGCACACAGTCACAGCCGGGATAAAAAACAACCCCGCGTGGGGCTGCATGCCTGTTCTCCTGGGACTCGGGAGCTGAGGCAGGAGAGTTACAAGTCCCAGGCCAGCAACTTGGAGGCTGACTCGGACAAGTGTATCCCTTTCTGAGATCACGAAGGAAGGAAAGAAGGAGATTATTGAATTTATGGTCTGAGAATTCTTCTTAGGTTTTGTTCTTTTTTATTTTCCTTTTTCTAAGATACATGGTGTTTATGATTTGAAAAAATACAGCACGTACAAGAGCCATGGCTGGCGCCTGGCCCCAGAACCCTGGTTCCCTGGAAGTCAGTCATTAGCGGCTTCCTGTGTCTTTGGTCACAGAACAACTAGAGGGCCCTCCTGGGCAGTCCTTTTGATTTTAACTTGTCATTAAACTGGAGGCTTCATGAGCTTCCAGCAGCTTCCACAGCTCCTGTCACAGCCCCAGAAATCTCAGCAGCATGTGTGCGATCAAAGCCAGCATTCTGGACAGGCTCAGTCGCTGGCTTTATCTCCTGTCCTCATTCATGTTGCTGCTGGACGGGGCCTTGGGGACTCCTGTGGAAGGAGGGGACAGCAGAGCAGGGCAGAGACCCAAGAGAGCTGGAGTCAAGGTTCCCCTCTGTGGCACTGGGCGTGTGTTTACCTTGGAAGGGAGAAATGACACAGTCTCCTGAACGTCTGTATCCATCACAACCCAAGTCTGCTTCCTTCCAGTCTTCTGGCTTAAAGGGAACAGACTTCCTGCTTGCACATCCTTTCAAATAATCACAGGGCGCAGGGTGATTGGGGGACCATGCAAGAGTAGAGCGGGAGGGGGGACTGACTGCTGTGAGCCCCAGTCCCGGTGACGGCCACCCCAGGCAGGGGCCATCTCCCCATTCTCAATGGGGCGGTGGAGAACCCGAGGTTGCTGCCAGGCGACTCTGCGTGAAAGCCCAGCTGCTCACGGCGTCCCCGCCCGCCAGGTGCTTCATCATGGAGGACAGGGGCTACCTGGTGGCGCACCCCACGCTCATTGACCCCAAGGGACACGCCCCAGTGGAGCAGCAGCACATCACCCACAAGGTACAGGGCGCCGCCAAGGGGGCCACCAGCTCGCGGCCACCACACGGCGCTGGCCCCCTCTTCTCTTTGGCCTCGTCAGGAGCCGCTGGTGGCCAACGACATCCTAAACCACCCCAACTTCGTGAGGAAGAACCTGTGCAACAGCTTCAGTGACCGGACCGTGCAGAGGTTCTACAAGTTCAACACCAGCCTGGCGGTGAGCGGGGGACCTGCCCAGGGAGAGGGACAGGCCTCTGGGCGGCTCCAGCTTGGTAACTGTGGGCTGAAAAGCCCAGGCTGGAGCGGGAACGCGTTGGTCTCGAGGTTGTGTTCCGTTCGTGCTTTGCCTGTGTGAAGACTCAGCTGGCCTCTCTCTGAGCATCTGCAGAAGTCGCTTCCATGCTGATGTACACATGGGCACCCGCACCTTCTCTCAAGTCTCCTGGGGAGCCACCACTCCTGCTCCTCCTGCTCCTCTCTCTCCTCCTCCCCTTCCTCCACCTCTCCCTCCCCCTCCTCTTGCTCTTCCTCCTCCCTCTCCTCCTCCCCCTTCCTGCACCTGTCCCTCCTCCCCTTCTCTGTGTCCTCTTTCTCTTCCTCCTCTTCTGCCCCGGTGGGGTTTGCACTTGGTCACTATCCTGCAGATCATCGCAGAGGAATTTCTTGGTGCCACGTAGCTCCTCTGCAGAATTTGAAATCCTGCAGAACTCACCTGGCTCTGCCTGGGGATCTTAGACCCTCAATGGTAACTGTTCTAACTGGGAAAGGCCCGGAATGGGAAGAGACAGCACCAACAGTCGGAAAGGCATTCAAAGGACACTGTTATTTTATCACTCGTGATTGGTGTCTGCGTCGGTCATTTCGTGTAGAGTTAATTCTTAAGAGGTGCTCAGCAAACCCAAAAATCCTAAACTGAGTGTCAGGAGGTCAGTGGCAAACAGCAGCTGTCCAGTGGACGGGGGTGTGAGACGTGGACATAGTATCAGAATCAGGTCTTCTGGGCAGGGAGGCCCTGGGGACTCACTTCAGACCGAGTGCCACTGTGTCCCGGGGAGACCCAGACAGACTTCCATGGTCACAGGGAGCCCGGGAAGCCTGACTCCTCCTGTGCGTTTGCCACCCTTTTTACTCACGTGCTTATGGAAAATACAGTAAATGTTCAGGCTCTCCAAATCTATTAAATCTGTTGTTTTTCCAAAGCAGGACATAAAAAGAACCAGCCGTAAAGATTTCTATTTGCATAAACCTAGACAGAGTGTCTGTAGCACCCACACAGCCCAGTGGGAGCCGTCCCTGCCTGCTGGGTCGGGAGTGGCTCTTGTTTGGAGTACCATGCGACTTCTGCCAGCAGGAGGCTTTTGTGTGGCTGTCCCTGCCTCACCATCGCCCTGACACCTCCCGGCCCGCAGGGGGACCTTACCAACCTTGTGCACGGCAGCCATTGCTCCAAATACCGACTGGCGAGGATCCCAGGCACCAATGCCTTCGTTGGCATCGTCAACGAGACGTGCGACTCTCTGGCCTTCTGCGCATGTAGCATGGTGGACCGGCTCTGCCTCAACTGTCACCGGTAAAGCGCGCTGAGCGGCGCCCTGGGCTCCCCAGCTGGTGACCAGCTTAGCCAATGCCCTAAAAGTGGCCCCTGCATGATGCACAGGACAGAGGATGTCCCAGGGAGGAGGCCCCACCTGCAGGGCAGTTCAAAGCCAGGAGGACCCTTGCATCCTGTGGCCACAGGCAGGCAAGGCCCGGATGTGCACGCAGACCTTTCCGGTAGATGGCTTTAGCTGCCCATCAGCGCATGCATGCGCAGTAGTCAGGGACGCCCCGCCTCGGCACCTCTTGCTTTGCAGGATGGAGCAGAATGAATGCGAATGCCCTTGTGAGTGCCCCCTGGAGGTCAACGAGTGCACCGGCAACCTCACCAACGCAGAGAACCGGTAAACGCGTGTGAGCGTGTACAGTCCCCGGGTATCTGCACTCACGCACGCACATAAAGGAGACCGCCATGGACACGGCTGTGGATTTGTCTTGGGTTGGGAAGTACACAGCACGTGCTTCCCACAACACATGACCTGTTCACTGACCAGAGGTCAGATGCCAAGGGCTCGGAGGTTTAAATTTACTTATTTTCTCCCAAATCTATTTTATTTCGTGGAGAAAAAGAAGAAAAAATTTGAAAAATGTCAAAACATCAGGCAGGGCAGCAATGGTAAAGACACTGCATGTTGACCCCGAATCCTTCACCCAGAGGTTTAAATTGCACTGCGGTGCAAGGGTGAGGGGTATGTGTGTTACACACCCACACCGACAATATTACAAGCATTCAAGACGGGCCACGCGCCCTGGTTTTGGATGAACACGCAGGAACCTGCCTCTCACGCAGGGTTCCACCCACGCATTGGTGTTAGGAGCTAAACCACCTCCCAAGACGCCCTCCCTGGACTCAGGAAGAAGCACCCTTTGGGTGTGGAGGTGCAGGGACAGTGCCTGCAGGGGCTGTGGATGGAAGGAGGTGAATGGGAGGGGGCTGTATTCTGTGTGCGGCTGTTGTGTAGCGTGGTACAGAATCCTCACGCACACACACGCATGCGTTTGCACGAGCGCTGAGCAGCAGGGAAGGTCGCGGTTACCCCTGACTGGGCCTCGCCTCCCCCAGGAACCCGAGCTGTGAGGTCCACCAGGAGCCGGTGACGTACATGGCCCTTGAGCCAGGGCTGCAGGACGCCCTGCGCCAGTGCGTCAACAGCAGGTGCAGCCAGCGGCTGGAGAGTGGGTGAGTGGCCAGGCGGTGATGGGGCTTCCGCTCTCAGCTGCACTGCCCGGAGTCCCTCTGCCTTTCGGGTCTGGGTTTCCTGGGTCCCACAGCCTCTCAGCAGAGTTGGGCTCCAGCGTGCTCCAGGTGTGGTCGTTGTTGGAGACAGGTTCACTGTCTTTGAGGCTGGCTTGGACTCGGCAATCCTCCCACCTCAGCCTCCAGTGCTGGGATTGCAGGGCACAGCACTGCACCCAGTTTGATCTGATCTTTAGTGGGTGAGGGTCCTCCCCGGACTGAGTGCACACAGAGCCCATGAATGTGCCAGGAAAGCGGCAGTCCCGGAATCTGTCTTGAGTGTCCCAGTCACTAGTTCCCAGGCCGGTGTGGCTGCCATCTCCTTCCTTGGTGCTGTTGTGTCCACATGCACGGGACCTCAGCATCCCCAGGGCTGTTCCTGTCTGGTGTTTTAAGCTGCTTTGAGCTGGCACTGCCTCCTCCCTGGTACGGGTGGCGTTGTTGGATTGCAAACAGCCCTGCTCCCCTGGGGGCCAAAGCCTGGGCTCAGTGCCCACCCTCAGACACGTGCACTTCACCCCTCAGGGACTGCTTCGGGGTGCTAGACTGCGAGTGGTGTGTGGTGGACAGCGACGGTAAGACGCACCTGGACAAGTCCTACTGCGCACCTCAGAAGGAGTGCTTTGGGGGTATCGTGGGAGCCAAGAGCCCCTATGTGGACGACACAGGCGCCATTGGTATGTTCCCTGGAGGCCGGCGTGGCTCCCTCTGGAGACACAACTCCTGCCCGAGCCCAGGGCAGAGATCGATAGGAATCTTCCCTGTTCCCTGGCGCCTCAGCTCATTGTTAGAAAACCCAGGTGTGGTCACCGTCCAGGCCAGCTCCACACCTGCAGTGACTGTGGCCCTTCCGCTGCCCTGGACACTACCCAGCCAGGCTTAGGGGCACAGGTGGGGACAGGTGGGGCACCAGTGTCAGTGCGGTCTGGCTATCACTAAGTGCTCCCATGTATGCACAGGGACTCCAGGCCCTGGCCTGGCCGTGCTGGATCAGAAGCACAGGTGCTCCCAGCTCAGCTGTGCAGCTTTTGTTCCCCCCTGGGATCCCAGTGTCCAGGGTCCACAGCTCTGTTCCCTGCACCCAAGAGTGCAGCCACAGCATGTCACCACTGGGTGCAGAGATTGGGGCCGATTCCACCGCCTGTGCCCTTATTTATGCATCCGTGCAGCCTTAAATCGCAGCTGGACCATGGGGAGTCGGGCCCAGCTCCACCGCCCCAAAGAGAGCCCCGAGCTCTAAAGTGGATCCATTTGGTTTTTTTAATTTTATTTATTTTCGTGTGCATTTTTGAGACAGGGTCTCACTGTTCAGTTCAGGCTGGCCTTAAAGTTACTTTATAGCCCAGGGTGGTCTCTAACTCCCGCGGTCCTCCTCAGCCTCCCAAGTGCTGATTACAGGCTTACAGGCGTGTACCACCACACCCGGCTGCAGTCAGTCTGACAGGTGCTTAGGGTTCCTTGTGGTCGGGCCTGTGTCCTCACCTTCCAGGGCTGTTCCTCCTGCCCAGGGTCCCTGAGCATGGAGCAATTTCTGTCTGCTCCCTTGTGCTCCTGTCGGGGACCAGAAAGTCCTTGCCCCCCTCTGCTGCACCGCAGGGTTTTCTCTGAGGCGCTCAGCAGGAAACAGCCGTTTCCCCAAGCTCCCACCCCAGCGCCCCTCCACTCCCCCACCCACTGCCGTACGGGTCCTAACGGCATCTGTCTGTCTGTGTTTGCTGAAGGTGACGAGGTGATCGCACTGAACATGATCAAGAGTGCGCCCGTGGGCCCGGTGGCCGGGGGCATCATGGGCTGCATCATGGTGCTGGTGCTGGCTGTCTACGCCTACCGCCACCAGATCCACCGCCGCAGCCACCAGCACATGTCGCCCCTGGCGGCACAAGGTACGTGCAGAGTGGCCTAGGCCGCACGTCATTCCCTCCCCTGGCCCCTCTTAGTTGTTCTGGGGCCAGGAAGACCCTGGCCGTGGCTGTTTTAACCTCTAAGAATTGGGGGGGGGGGGGGCGCTACACACAGCACCCAGAAGGCTGAGGCAGGAGAATCAGCCAGGCTGAACTTAAAAGGTGAGGGCAGGCTGCCTCCTCAGCTTTGTGGGTATCATCCCTGGAACCTCACAATCTTTACCATATCGACCCCACCAGTCCCTTTCTGGCCTTGGGACCCCTGCTCCCTCCCTTCCCAGCATCACCCCACCCCAGGTAGAGGGGCATGCACTGAGCAGGAACCTGGGGGGCCCGGGTGCTGAGTGCAGAGATGCTGTGGGTGGGGGCAGTGGGGCCCTCTCCCGGGACCCAAGCTGTGCCAGCTGTACCCCAAGACAGTGAGGCTGGCCTCCCCCGGGAGAAAGGCCCAGGCCATTGTGGCTCCTGTCCCACGCAGCCATTCCCTGGCTGTGGCTCCCTGCCTGCTGCAGTCTGTGCCTCAGCCCCCTTTTCCGCTCAGTCTGGGTTTGAGTTGTGTAGAGCCCAGGCTCTGTGTTCCCGTCCTGTGTGGCTGTCACTGGTCCTGGCGGGGCACCAGGTTGTGGTGGCTCCTGGGTGAACTGCCACACTTGTGTCCCCACCCACGGCAGAGATGTCGGTGCGGATGTCCAACCTGGAAAACGACAGGGACGAGAGGGACGAGGACAGCCACGAGGACAGGGGCATCAGTGAGTGTCACCCGGGCGCTGTCCCAAGTCCACGCTCTGGGCTTTGTCCTGCTGGCTCCCAGAAACTTTGTTTTTGTCTTCTTGAGACAGGGTGTCGCTGCAGTTCAGGCTGGCCTTGAGCTCTCTTTGTAGCCCAGGCTGGTCTCGAACTCTCAAGGATCCTCCTGCCTCAGCCTCCCGAGTGCTGAGATTATAGGAGTGAGCCAACAGGCCGGCTCCAGAAACCACAGGAAGCGTTGGCCTCAGGGCTTGTTCCCTCCCTTTCTCCTAAGAGCAGAGCAGGTCTTCGCTGTATTGTGGAAGTCACAGGACGTTGCCATTTCATGTTTTTCCTTGGCATCGAGCATCTGGGTCTGGAGCGCCCTCCCATCCCGTCCCCTGCTCTGTTGTCCTTGTCCGTTTCTCACACTGGGCCAAGGGGAGGGACTGGGTCTCCATCAGCCCCTTGAGCAGCAGACCCCACTTCCCAGATGCACCAAGGCCACCGCACGGGAGGGCCCGGGCAGGGTGGGGGAGGCCGCCTGTGGGTGACCCCTGTCCTCCGCCCTCACAGTCAGCAACACCCGCTTTATCGCTGCTGTCATCGAGCGCCACGCACACAGCCCCGAGAGGAGGCGACGCTACTGGGGCCGGTCGGGGACGGAGAGTGACCATGGTAAGTCGGGCCTGGACGCCCTGTCCTGCCCTGGTTTCCCCGAAAGGTGCCCCAGGGATGCTGTGTCCCAGCCAGGATGAGCCAGGTGCCCCTGGGTGGGCAGGCGGCTTCTGGGTCTTCATGAAGGCTCACATGAGCAGCCCTGCACCCACACAGCACCCCCTTCCCCCCCACCCCACCCCATCCTCCCTCCTCCATGAAAGAGGTCCCCTCCGGTCCTGCCACCCAGTGTGAATGGAAGAGCTGTGCACTGTGTCAGCACTGGGAGGCTGAGGCAGAACGGTTGCAAGTTGGAGGCCAGCCCAGGCAGTTTAGCAAGACCAAGTCTCAAAATCAAAGCAATATGGGGGTTGGACCCCATATCGAGGAGCCCCTCCCCAACCATGTACTCTTGGGGACCAACAAGCATCCATGCCCTGCTTCTCTCCAGTGATCTCTGCCCTTGTCTGGGCTCTTGGGAGGCACAGGAGATCCTGCCAACTTGCCGAACCTTGAAGGTCAATTGGGGGCGGGGGTGAGACAGGTCTCACTGTGTAGCCCAAGCTGGCCTCCAGTTTACCACAGCGATCCTCCTGCTTCAGCCTCTCGAGAGCTGGGCTTGCACATTGAGAAATCAGGAGCCCAGGGTGTTGGAGACCAAAGCAACAGCCTTCACCAAGTCAGATGTGGGACGGGTTAGGTCACTGCCTCTGGCCCATGAAGCTCGCTGTTTTCCTCCCAGACCAGGCCTCAATTTCAGAGCCTGGGTCCTGTGCTTAACCCTAGATGCTGAAAGCCCAGGCACAGCAGCTCCTCTGCTGTGGCCTCCTTACCCCCACCCATCACCTGCCAGGTTTTGGGGCTCCCAACGATGGCCCCCCACCAGCCGGCAGCCTGCACCCTTTTGTGCAGAGCCTGAGCAAAACTTAAATCCTTCAGTTTCTTCCTGGCTCCCCTCTCCCCCGCAAAAAAAAAAAAGAAAAAAATACCCTCCGAAGCTGCAGGAATCCCTTCTGCCAGGACCACTGCTCTGAGTGGTAAAACAGGCCCAGGCCACTAAAGTTCAGCAGAAATCATTGTGCACTCAGAGGAGACCGAGCAGGTTTGCGAAGCGTGGCGGAGATGAAAGGTTCCAGCTCAGGGCTGGAGTTCATTTTTCACAGTACCTGGATTCTTCCTGTCCGCCGGAATGGAATATAGCTCTCAGCAGAGGGCCACCAAAGGACGGGGAAGCCACCGTGCCCCACACTCTGCACACTGCCCAGCCGCCTGCTGATGTCACCTCCCTAGGCCTGCGGGCGGTCCCCCGAGGGCTGGCCTCTGTCCTGCCCTGTGATCTCCCGAGAATAAGGGACAAGGGATGTGAGAGGGCTGCAAGGGAAGCCGCACCCCCTCTCCTGTACTAAGATGAGAGACTCCAGAGGGTGGCACAGGAGGAGCCAGCCTATCCTTCCATTTCGTTTTGTTTAACAAACAAAGACTTTAATGAGTTACTTTCAGTTTTAGTTTCCTGATACTTAAAAATAAGATTAAGAAACTGGTGGGCTGCACAGGCCTGTAATCCCAGCACTCTAGGAGGCTGAGGCCGGAGGATCACAAGTTAGAGGCCAACCTGGGCAACTTAGTGACCTAATGAGACCCTGTACCAGAAATAAAAAATAAAGGTCGAGCTCATTGTGAGGGTCCCAGGTTGATTCTCCAAGGAATGGCAAAAAGGATTAAAAAGTCCTCGGTATTAAAGTCACCAGGATTAAGTGAAATACCGTAAACCCTGGAGGCCGCGGTCTGAGTCCCTGTTCTCCGAAGGGGTTTCCCATCCTGGAGGAAACAGCTGGCTTGGAAGAGCCAACCCCCCACCCCACCCCCCTTTAGAGGAGGTGGGAGCCCCCCACATCCTCCATGGACCTGCAGCCCCTGGAGGGCCCTGGATCTGCAGGACCCTGTAGTATGGGGTGGATTCCATCGAGCTTGCGCCCCGCACAAGCCACAGAAGCCAACTGGACGTGCGCGCGCAAGACACACTGGTAGCGAGGTCCCCCAAGGTTCAGCTGTCACCGAGCGTCCTGTGGAGACCCCACCCCGGGCAGTTGTTTCTCTTAGACACTGAGCACAGCCAGAGCTTCGAGTGCAGTAATCCGATTCCATCCTCCATGCTTGGGGAAAACCGTGGCTGAAGTGGCGGGGAGGAACCCAGGGTCCACCCCAGCTGGGCTCCAGCGCCCTCTCTCCCTGGAGAAGGGCTTTCCCCTCCCGATTGGCCAGGTCCAAAGAACCTGGGAGGCAGAGGCAGAGCGCGAGTCCAGGGGAAACAGGGTCCTTCCGAGAAGGAGCCTCCTGCAGTGACTCGGCATGGCCACTGGGTGGCGCGCGCGTCCGGGCCTGACTAGTGGCCCTGCTGGTTTCCTAGCAACCGTCAAGCAAACAGTAAAACAGAAAGGCAGAGCTCAAGCGCAGATGCCTGGTCTGATCCTTGTCCCTCTTTGTGGACGATGGCCTCCTTCCTGGAGCCTGCGTCGCCCTCAGATGGACTCCGGACGCCTCTGACAGGCTCCGCGGTGCTTCCTCCCCGGGATCGAGGACGCGTCTCCCCACCCCCCAGCAGACCTCCGACCTGTCACCTGTGGGTGAAAACGTTTGTCCTGCCCCGCCCCTTCTGCTGCACCTCCCTCCCCCCTCCATTCCCAGATTTCCAGCAAATTCTAAAATCCGGACATGGCATTGACCTCACCACAGGGAAGTTAGGTAGAAGGGCTGTAGAATGAGGGGTTGCCTCTGGGAAGTCCCGGGGGCGCCCGCGTGGCTTCCCCATTAGATGGGAGGAGAGGGTGTTACACCAGGCACAGTGGCACTCTGGAGGCTGAAGCAGGAGGATCTACATGGGCCCAAGCCCAGCCTGGGCTCCATCATGAGACTGTCGCAAAAACAAAACACAGCAACATACATTTGTGATACGTTTTTTAGGAAAACCCTGCTGATTCTAGATCTCTTAATACGTAAATCCCTAGCAACTGCTGACCCACAGAAGCGTGTGCGCCCCGGCGGCTGGGGGACCTGCATGCGCCGAATCCTTGGGTCCCAGAAGAGCCCGGCGCCCCTCACTGTGAGCTCTCTTCCTCCCTAGGCTACAGCACCATGAGCCCCCAGGAGGATAGCGAGAACCCGCCCTGCAACAGCGACCCCCTGTCTGCGGGCGTGGACGTCAGCAACCACGACGAGGACCTGGACCTGGACGCCCCTCCCCAGACCGCTGCGCTGCTGAGCCACGGGTTCCACCATTGCCACCCGCACCGCCCCGCGCTGCACCCAGGCCACTGCCTGCAGGCGGCCGTCACTGTGCACACCGTGGACGCTGAATGCTGACCCCGGTGGGTGGCAACGGACTCGCGTGGACCAGAGGAGCAGCGGGCAGGGCTGCGAGGGGGCAGGCCAAGGGAGAGGGGCCTGGGGACATGGCACACCCGCCCTCACTACCCGACCACATGTCCCCGTGGCCCCCAAGACCTCGGTCACCATGTGGAACTCACACCACGGGGCAACAGGTGCACCTCAGAGTTTCTAAACAAAAGGTTATTTTTCTACTATTTATTAAACTTTTCAAACATTCTTAGACTTTGAGGGAAAAGGCAAGAAAGCAGGAGACGTGTCCACGGGAACTCCTGGCCGTCATGTGTGTGTGTGACACGGGTCTCACCCCGATGCCCTCACGGCTCCAGCGCCGTCCCCACTCATCACTGTCCTTTGCTGGAATCCTCTATCCAAGGCATGCGGCATTCGCACTCAGAGCCTGGGAGGTGGTGGAATCCCCGTGGTTCCGCACGAAGTGTTACATTCCTGTCGTTTGTTTCTGTTCCCATTTGGGCTTCCTTAGGTTTCTACAAAATCTAACGTCACCACCCCAGATGACACGGTTAAATGTCCCACTTCTCAGAACTGAGCACAGAGGGGAGGTGTTTGAACATTGTGAAATGTGGTTCCTAACCAAAGCTTTCTCTGGAGACCGAAGTGGAAAGCTGGGCCAGGTCCCCTGAGTCCCCGGCCGCACTTGGTGGGCCAGGGTGGCTCAGGTCCGCGCTGCTGGGAGAGCAGCGCTGTGACCCAGCCGTGCAGCTCGGACTCATGTATTGTGGCGCAAATGTGTTGGGAGACGCCCGGCACGGGCAGGTGTAAAGCCCGGTCTCTGTGTGGTGGGGGTGTCCGCTGAATAATGTTTTCATGCGAGAATAATACAATACAGTGTAAAACATGAAATAAAGTCGGGCCTTCCACGATGCGGAGCAGCTCCGTACTTCTGGGGAGCCCCTTCCTCCCATGCAAAGCTGCGGCCCAGTGAGATAAACTACGACGGGCAGCGGCAGTGCAACCTCCTGTGGCCTGGGCTCCAGCACCGAAGATCCTCGGTCCTCAAGCTGCTACAGGGAGCGCTGGCCTCTTGGTCGGTGCGGGGATCAAGGGAGTGAAACTCAGAGCCAGAGACAAGGCGTGGAAAGTCACTCCCCAAATCCCTGAGTTAAGTTGCCATCTCCCCCTGGAGGGCGTGGATGGCCTTTCTGCCTTCCCGGAGCAGTGAACTCCGTGGGATCCATTCTCTTGCCCTGAAGGTGAGCAGCTCAGTGTTACAAAGCTCGCTTCTTCTTTAATTTTTATATTTTGGTTTTTTGAGACAGTCTCACTGTGTAGCCCAGGCTGGCCTTGAAATTGCAGTGATCCTCCTGCCTCAGCCTCCCAGAGTGCTGGGTCACAGGCGCGCACCACATCCCAGGGGCACCTTCTCCTTGATCTGTTAGGAACTTCCCACCTTCTCGTGCCATGGTCCCACCCGAGCAGCACACCGGCAGTCTCCTCCCCAGGCTCAGCTGGTGGCAGCTCCAGGCTGTGGTGGGGGGCAGCAGGGGTGACAGCTGGAACTGACCGCTCTCCCAGCAGCCTGGTTGGCAGGTCCCACACCCCCTCCGGGTCCTACCCCAGGACCTGTGGGCACCCATAGCCAGTTCCCGACAGCTGGGGACACCTGGGTCCTACCCCATGGCGTCGCCCTGCTCCCACCTGCGCCCTCTGCAGCTGCCTGTGACCAGCTCCGTTCTGGTCCAGGCTCCACGCAGGAGGCCAAGCACAGGGCAGAGTGGGGCTATGTGGGACAAGGTAGGTGACATCCACGGGGCTGAGGTGTTAAACCCAGGGCGGGGATGGAATGGGGGCAAATGGCTCACAGGGGCCAGTTCAGGTGGTCAGTGATGCAGTGGCCAGGCAGGGGTGGCTCGGCACCCTCTGTGCAGAACCTCCGAACCGGCCATACGCACACCCCCGCTGTGCGGCCTGGGTGTCCCGGCCATAGGGGTGCAGCTGGGAAGTGGCTCAGCCCTGCCCACGGCCTGCCCCAGTCCTCTCCGGGGTCCACCCACAGCGTCCTACCTCAGCTGTTCACCCGGCCCAGCCGCAATGCTAAGCCGTGCCCACCACGCCCAGCATGGCTGCTTCTGGGCCAGGGCCCCATCTTCCTCCCCCAGACCACTCTTCCTCCTGAGCCCCCCGCATGGATTCCCACATGGCGCTGTGTGTCAGCAGCTTGAAGGAGGCTGGAGCCATCAGCCGGTCCCCAACACCCCCTTCCTGTCCTGCCCACTTCCCGGCCACTTTCTGCCCCCAAAACGCAGTCTGATCACCACATGCAAATAAGGCTGTGATGTTTAGGTGACACATTTTCTGTCACGCTGTCTTGTAGCACATATCAGTGCTGGGTCCTTTTTTTAAAATTTTTCTTTTTAAATTTTTAACCCAGGGCTTCACTGGTGCCAGGTAAGGGCTCTAACTATTAAGCTACCCTCCCAGGGCACAGAGATCTTTGTCTAAATGTAAATTTGACAAACCTACCAATTGGCTTGACAGCCTTGGGCTTATCATTTCCCATAAGGTAAGGTTTTGCACCCCCCATTCTGCCCCAATAGGGCCCCCATTTTTGCTGTCTGAAGGTCAGGAACATTTTGGCCCTGGCCCACCCCAGTACCTTTGCATGTGCTGCCGCTCTGTCTGAAGCACTTCCTGTCCAGACCCAGCCTATCCCACAACAACCCCCTTCCCTCTCCCTCTTCTGAGGTCACTGCTCCTCCATGTCCACTACCACAGCCCTCCTCAGGGCAGCAGCTTGGGAACAGACCTAGGGAGACGGTCTGTTCCCAGCCAAGGCCGGCTGCCAAGTGCAACCAGTCAGCTGGGTGCAGCTAGAAGCTTGCAGGGGTCCTGGGAAGGAAGATGGGTGTAGCACCAAGGGCTGGACAAGAGGTGGCCACAGGCAGGGTGCGGGGCTGCAGGGACACAGGTAATCAGGTACCACCTGGGTCCAGAGAGAACACAGTGCAGGCTCTGCCAATGCTGCTCAGGTCTGAGGACAGCATGACTGCGGGGGATGCCAGGACACGGAGCCCCTCCACTCCCCGCCTTCTGTGCCCCCCACCAACCTGCTCGCCTCAGTGCCCCTCTGTCCCCTCCCTGCATGCCTACTGGCTCAAATAGGTACAGACAGGAGTTTGCTGAGTGAATAATTGTTTTACCAATATAGAAGGTGGGTTATAAATGAAACAGGACACCAAAATGGGACAGTCATAGGTTTGTGTAGCACGCACTGAGCTGGAAGGATAAGAACATTCCGGATGCCCAAAGTGCCAGCAGTGAGCTGCCCTGCCAAAAGGCAGGGAGACTTGGGATTACTTGGCTCATCAGAAGGTCCCAAGTCCCCCTCAGAACCAGGCCACATGCAAAATAAAAGCCCTCATCTGGCCTGTCACCCAGCACTGGGAAGGCTGAGGCAGGCTGAGCTCACAGGGAGACCCTGTTCAAAGAAAAAGAGCCAGGATCTGGGCGGAGAGCTCCTCTTCAACCGGAAGGAAACATACACAGCCAAACGAGGGGGGACGCGCCCTTCTGAAACAGTGAAATGGAAACTGAAGGGCGGGAAGGACTCCCGTGGGCGAGCTGGGTGACAGCCTGGAGGAGGGAGATGCCGCGCTGCTTCTGCAAAGCTGCTGGAACGGAAACTCTGGCTCCAAGACGCACAAGGTCCCCTGGCACCGGGGCACGGAGGCTCACGCGCGTGGAGAAGCAGCCGGGTTTTCCGTGGCCACGCGCTGAAGCGGGAGAGTGGCGAGGTCGGCACGGCAGGCACAGCTGCGGCGAGAAGCGCTGGGCGGGTAGGAAACGGGAGGCTCCGCTTGGGGACCGCCAGGCGGGACACCACGTCCTGCAACTGTACGGTGGATGGCAGGCGGCCCTGCGCCCACACCCTCTGCACCCTCAAGTCTAAAGTGTTCCAAAGAGATCTGTCTGTGCTTACTGTGGAAAGACATCTTTCCTGTCACTGCGCCCTCACCTATTTCATCTCTCGGCCCACTGTTTCTGTTTTATTCCCTGTCCAGATCCCTCCCTGAAAGAGCTAAATCGCAGTGATCCACGCATACACATTTTACAGCAACACGATTTATAACAGCTCCACCTTAGAGATGGCCCAGAAGCCCCTCAGCAGATGCATGGGTGAGGAAATTATTCACAGTGGAGTACTCCACTGCCATAAAGAAGGACAAGCCTGGGCCGTGTGTAGGCAAATGGATGCACCCTGAGGCCAGGACTTCGGGTAAAATAAATCAGATACCCGAGCTTGAATAACACGTGGCTTCTCTTACATGAGGGACCCCAAACTAAATAAGGGAAAAACAAAAGATCTATAACAGCAAGGAGAGAGGTTTTTCAAACAGGCTTGGAAATAAGAGGGAGAGAAAGAGGATAAAAGAAACAGCAGAACTGAGTGAAAAACTGGAAATACAGCATTTGCAAATGGGATGGAGCAGGAGACAGTGAGCAGAGGTGAGGAACAAAAAAAGACAGAGAAGCGGCTCCTAGCAGACCAGAAAAGATTAAACCCAAAAAGCAAACAGCAAACCTTTATCAGACTCAGAGCTCGGCAGCTGCCCGCCCACAGTGTGAGGGTCACAGCTGGTAGGGTAGGCGGGGGACACACACGGGTTACACCCAATATGGGGACACAAGCACTGGGCAGAAGTCCCAGACCATCGGGCTGGACACCGAGGGGTCTGGAGGGACCTGCCCCGGGCACACACCCCATCTAGGGACCCAAAGGATGTTGAGCTTACACAGTTCAATGCTAGGTGTGACAGAGAACACACTCCACAGACCTCACTCAGCTGACCTCATAAGGACGGAGTGTGGGGCAGTGGGGACACGGAGGGGGTGACCACAGGTCCAAGGTCACAGCCAAACGGGAGGGCAAGGGCCTGGGGTGCAGCTGCTCAGGGTGTCAAACACCACACATCTCACACAGACAGGAATGACCTTGAATGTTGCGCTCTGAAGCAGTGAGCACTGCAGGGCTGGACCTGCCCAGCCTGACTCAGCCACTGTACCACTCGCCCGGCCACAGCCCCGCCGATGCACAAACTTGTATGCTTGTGTGCATCGTGGATTCACCCACAGGGTGAGTCAGGAAGAGGGGCGGCCTGGGGGTGGGTGCTCACCCGGTCTGACTTGGAGGGGGTGTTCTTGTCCCCAGCACCTCCCTCTTCTCGTTGGCTCTGCCTGCTGTGGGGAGAGCAGCTGTCCCTCTGCCCCCCTGACCGAGGACTGCACCCCTGAGCCAAGAGCAGCCTCTTCTCCTCCAAGCCTTGGGTGTGGAGTATTGTGTCCCGGGGCAAGAAAGTGACTGAGACAGGGCATCAGTTAAAAACTGAATTTAGAATTTAAAAAGAAAACACACCACAGTCAGATTCTGCTCCACAGTCGGGGACAAACCAGTGCCCCAAAAGCGGATCCTGCAAAAGCCAGTGAGGGCGCCATCTGTGTAACGTAGGACAGGACAATGACCTCCAACACAGGTCCACGTGGTGCTTGGCTCAGGGGTGAGGGTGGCTGGCTCATGAGGGGCACTTGGGTGCTGAGACCAGAGTGTCCCAGGCTGAAGCCACCTGCTCCAGCCAGGACCCAGGTGACCACATGTGAAGCAGGTGTCGCGGTGTACAGAGATCCAAGCGGCCCCAGGTTCTCTGGATCCTTGGAATTCAGCTGCGGATCTGCCCCCTTCACAGCCCCAGCCCCACCAACAAGCAGACGACAGGGACAGCCCAGGGATAGGGTGACGGAGATGGGAAGCGGATATAGGAGGCTTTTAATTATGGAAAAGCTGGAAAGGGCAGAGCGCAGAGCCAGCGGGTGTGGGCGTTCGGGAGGCGGGGCGGCAGGCACAGAGCTGTCCTCACCGCTGGCCTTT